TTGATGGTCACATAGAACGACCGGAGGCTCTAATAATTCTCTTTTCGCTTTGGTCAGCTTCTGGCTTTGGCTTATTGTGGCTAGAGCAACTAGAGCGTCACCAATAAATGAATTACAGCGGAAACGCAAAAAAAAAAAAAACATGAAGTAATTGACTGCAAAATGTGTTTAAAACTATCTATAGACCCTTTTTAGGGATCATAACCTTGAACAAACGTGTTTAGCTTATAAAAGCTTTACAATTAGTTTTCTTCAGAGAGCAGGCGCTATCATCATCATGGCGCAAAATGATATTCGAAACGTACGTGTAGCAGGGGCTTGAAATGTAATGTCACTCGGCGCCCGAATGTGATTCGCCCTGAATTGCATTTGCCATGTCCGTGTGGCAGTAGCAGCAGTGAATCTATTTTTATCTTTCTTTTTTTCCTTTTTCACTTTCACCTTGTCTTTCTCTAGATGTTCTATTAAATTGACAGTTGTAAGTAAGCGTTCTGTCCTGTCCCCTTCTTCTCTTCTTAGTCATTTGCCATTTTTAAACCATGTTCAACCAACTAGCCACCCAATTGATCTTGATAGTATTTTATGCCTCGTAACTTCCAGGCGATTGCCTGAAAGATAAATTAAAATTGCCCTCTCGACCTCTCGCCACAGGTTTGACGATCACTTTTGTATTTAAGAAAATGGACAAGAATGACATGAAGGTGCGCTATTTAAAGCGTCACTTGTTATATTTAAAAAAAGTGAGTTTTAAGAGAGTGAAACGAGCAAATCTGACACGAGACGTGGCTGAATGGATACGTATCAGAAGGCAAAAAAATGAGCGTGACAATCTGATGAGACAACTTTCTTTTTGCCTTTTTTGCTTCCGTCATGTCGGTCTGCAAAAATGTCGTGATTCCTACATAATTTTTTTTAACACTAAATTTTTGCGAACACGGAGGGTCGCTTTTTTGGCTTAAAGGGGCGGTGCAACGATATTCAATTGGAATGTTTTTCATTTTACACGAGCTTACTGGCATTAGTGGGACTCAAGGATTTTCGCACGCAACGCCACTGGCCGAGAAACTCCTTTGTTGCGGTGTAACATCAAGGGCCAAGGCGAGCGTTTTCATTCAATCTCTCCTTCACAAAACTTGATGACGTAGCCCGGCGGTCGGAGTACCGCCGAGTTTTCAAACACATGGGGCTCTATGGCACCAGAAACCGAAAACGAGCGAAAATGGGCTCCATTTTCCCATTGAAATTTTCAGAAAATAACTTATAACTTTTGATGAAGTTATCGGATCGGGCTGAAACTCTGGCATCTGGTTGTGACCTCTAGCTCTACCTTTGGGCGGAGAATGAGCGTTCGGGCGATGCCTGGTTTATTCTTGCGGTAAAAAAGACCATGTAAATTTTCTTTTGTGACACCCGTGTCCCTCTAGAGCGACAGAAAGAAACAAACGACAGCGACAAGGCTCAAACCAGTCTTTCGCGATTTGAGAGGCTTTATAAAATGAAGCCTTTATTCTACAAAGCCCCTCAAAGGCTATGCTCAAACACGAGCATCGTGCACGCGAGGGTATCTTTGACAAACTTGCAATCACTCGTGCTTACTTCACGAGCACCGAACGACTAAACGCCTGCCAAAGGGACCATCGCGAGCATGCTGCATGGGTTTGAGGCTCGTCGCTTTCTTTTGTTTCTCTCTGTCGCTCTAGTGGGACACGGGCATAAGCAGTGTGGCGCCGACTTCACAGCCAGCTTGTGACATTGAAAACAAGAACGCATATTTCCTCTGAGAAGCGGGGATTACGTCAAGCTAAATCGAGGAAATTTTAAATCTTAATGGTACGGATAAAGTCAGCACGTAAGGTGCAGCGTCTCACGTGACGTAACCTAACGGTACGACATCCCGTGACACTGTGATGTCACATGACACCATACCGTGACGTGATATCACGTGACGCTACGGCAATTTCCCCTCTAAATTTAGCGTGAGAATCGATGTCACGTTACGTTCTGATGTCATGCGGCGAGATCCACACGAACGAGAAAGGCCCGTAAGAGGTTCCTATAATTTTGCCTTCATAAAGCTTTAGTGGTAGTTAAATGGGAAATAATGGATGTGAATGATAAACTATCAGCTGTATAGACCTTTCTAGTAATCGCCTTCTGCGCGCCGTTATCTTTGTCTACTGGACTGTGGGAAGCATTCTGAGCGTGTGCGGGAGCTATCCCTTTCACGAAATATGAGACGCCGCGCACGCTAAATGAATGGATAGATGGATGTTAAGGAGGGCACTTAAGTGGATAGTGAGATCGTCTAGTTATTGTCGTAACTCAATCTACGGGCTCTAAGCATCCTAAAAATCCCTTAATTGCATTCAAGGGCGGCCGATTTCCCCATTAAAGATCCAACGGGCGATAGCTTGCGCAGTGTGTCTGAAAAGACAAACATATGGTTCCTCCCACCGGTGCCGCAATGCATCGAAGGAGCTTAGAGTGCCTACATACACACGCGCGCTTTTGCTTGAGTGGTGACATCTCAGCCATTTTTCCGGACAGACAGACATGTAGGCACCCTAAAGGAGCTTTAGTCTTTCTGCACGTGCGACAACCTCGCTGGAGCTCTGCGCGTGTGCAGCATGAGGCAGCACAAGCCGCCTTGTGCACTGCTGCCTGCCTCCTGCGAACTAAAGTTATGGCGGCGTCACGCATACGCCGAACGCTGGGCGAGATCGGTCTATTGTCTCCCACTAACAGCATCCACGGTCCAGTGACTAAGCCTTTTTCGACCGAGTGATGAGGGCAGTAAGGGTGTCTCTACTCGGTTCCCGTTCTAACTCCGAGCGCAGCCGCAACGTTACGCTATCTGACAGAGCCAATCAGGCGGCTCCAAACGGGCGACGGCGCTTGTCACGTCTTTGTGGGTTCTGACGTCCGCCACTTCGGAGGCGCTGCTGTCGGCACTGCGCATGCGCAGAAGCTTCACCTCGCGCGAATCTGGTTTCCGCGCAGGACCCACGCCCGGTGTGGGCAAACGCGGGCTCGTTTGTAAGCAGTGTGCACTCGGTGCGTAGGGGGCCGTTCTATATGGTTTCGATTAAAATGGCGGTCATCTGAATGATCGTCGTATAGAACGGCAGTATACGAGTTTGGGTTTCGCTTTGTGAAATACGAGCGACATACATAAGAGCCGTGCCTCGTATACTTCCACGTCGGGAAGGTGTAAGGAAACTTCCTTGTTCGGATGCCGACCATCCAGGAGGCTCTAGGTATAGCGCGATTCTCACACAGCAGCCATTGCTGAAAGTTGCGAATCACCGTCTCAACCAACCGCGGACGGCGGAGGAGTAAAGCGATGTTGGTGGAAAAGCGAAATGGCAATAAAAATATGACAAATTGCGAGGCAATCGTGTTGGATACGTTTGTTTCTGCATCACAAAAGTTTAGCGATCCTCGTGAGTTTCCAGACGCTTACGTTCATGGCACTCTTCATTAGATAGTTTAACGCGTACACTGTGTACACTCGATAGTTGCTCCTCGAACAAAAGCGATACCACCGCCAATCGGGCTGATAAACCCCGCGATCTTCCAGTGCCTTCCATACTCTATGAGCAGTGGTTCTCCAATGGGGGTCCGCGGACCCTTTAGGGTCCGCGAAGGCATTTCAGGGGTCCGCGAAGCCCTGCCTCATCGATCAAGCCTGGCAATCGAAAGTTGCCTTTTTTCAAGTCAAGAAATGTTTCAGCTCTCGAGCCAGTTTTCTCGTGTATATGTCAATAAGCGAGGTTTACTTCCCACTAGCCCTTAGTTATATCTCTTTATTCAATTAATATTATATTTAACATATACCTTTCCCCTTCCCTCACCACGAACAAGGTCCTCCATCATCTCCGCCAATCCATAAGGGGTAACAGGGAAACATCGATGGTTGAGAACCGTTGCTCTAGAGCTCATCCAACACCACCAGGACAGAAGGCCTCCGCGTGGTCTCCTCTCCCTCTGTGAAACGTCATCAGAGTCGGATCGCGCTAACTCGGCTATTGTGCCCGAGCCAGACCTTCGACGCGCTGATTGGGCACGAGCCCCAGCCGAACACTGACGCAGCACTCCTGCCCAATCTCACGCCTCGATCGATCTGACAGTGAGGACGTATGCGCAGGCCTTCTGTCTATAGATGGTGTTGGCTCATCTCCCTCAGTGCGCACAGGTGACCGGGCTGGTCTTCCACGCCTACCTCACTCCCCCTCGCCTACTCGTTTAATCACGCGACCTCCTCGTTAATTAACCAATCAACGTTGAGCAGCTCACTCATCTCTCACCCGATAACGACGACAATAAGTGTCGATTCTCGCGGCCACGCTTTTAATCAGCATTCACTTTTATCTGGGCTTCACGAAATGCCAAACACCTCCTAAGAATGTTGTCAACTCGCCATCTGCTGGACGCAGAGCTGATGCCCCGCAGAGCTTCCGCGCCAAATGGCATTTCAGCTTACGGTGAGAAGTCGTGACGTGCTCAAAAGACATTCGTTTAATAATTATATGTGGTCGGGGTTCCATTCCCGCCTGGTACGTTGATCCATAGCCTCCTATATACTGGCACAGCCTGGCAGACCGCCACGAGAAGCGGCTGCCGAAATGGAAAAGCTGGAGCGACAGACAACGGATGAGAGGAGAGCCACATGACTGGCGCCCCGCTGCGGCGAGACGCCGAAGCACACTTCTGCCGAGCGAACAAATGTTTCGGGTTCTCACCGCTTCAAAGGCTGTCCGCTGACGTCCAGGTTCCCAGAGAAATGGCTCTTCGATGCTCTGTGCTACCAGATCCTTTCGCTCCAAATCTGCGACCGGGCACTCTATTGCTCCGTCGTCGAACTTCTGGGAGTATAAAGGAGGCTATGGTTGATTGTACTGTCAGAAACGCTCGGACTTGGTGTAAAATGGGAGTGTCGAAGCGAAGTCTGTAGTTTAGTCTGACGTCGGGCTACATTCGGGTCCCCATTTCCGTTCCAGAAGTGCGAAGGCAACCAGAGCCCCGAGCACCGGCGCTTCAGCCTCGACCCGCAGATCACTTCGTTCGAGGTGCTCCAGAACCTGCTGGCCAGGGCCTTCGACATCCGAGGGTGAGTACTCTGACGCCGCTCTCACCCCCGCGGATTTAAATATGCCAACACTTCATCCCGCTAAATGGCTGGGCAAAACAAGACATCATCTTCTGCGGTCGCGGCATTTGCTGTACAGCAGGTTTTCCTCTGATCCCAAATCTCCATGACACTTTTTTTTTTGTCGTGCGCAGCATTTTTTGTGGTCTGTTTAAACACTACACACGACTAGGGGTGCTATGTTGTGCTTTTTGGACTCCCAGGAGACTTGGAAGAAGGAAATGACGTCAACGACTATAGCAAACGCAGATTGGATGTTGACAAAAGAAAACAAAATCAACATCCAATCTGCATTTGCTGCGTTGTTGACGTCACTTCTTTCTCCCTAGTCTCCTGGGAGTCCAAAACGTGCAACATAGCCCCCCAGGCTCAATCTAGCCCCCTTGCTCACTAGACGTTTCTACACGATCGAGGTACTATCGGCATTGAATTAAATGCGAACGCCGGAAACGCGGGGTCTTCACAGAGCCCTTTTCTTCGATACACACGCTACTTGAGGCTCACTAAACTGCGGAGTGTATAGAGGGAGGCTGGGAGGGCGTCCGCATCCAAGGCAAGCGTATAGTTTTCACTGATAAGAGCATACGGCTTCCTTTTACGTCTTATTCGTATACCTTCGCGCAACTAGCTTTGACAGAGTTGTAGCACTAAGCTATTGGACGAGGATAAAAGCGGACTTTAACGATTTCAGTCCCTTCCACGCAAAACTTGACGGCGTAGCACAGGGGCTTCGCTGCGTTGACGTAATCTATATGGCGATGGTGTGAGGTTATTTGAATGCGGCTCGTTAATTGGACACGAGCGTGGCGTGAGCACTCAGTTTGGCGTCGTGACACAATCAATGCCTCGGTGTCCAATCGCTGCGATGACGGGAACAGCTGGACAGTAACAATGGCTGCAAGTCGGCGACCGCCTGCTTTGTTAACCCCAGCGCGGCATACGGGCTATTTGTCGCGATAAGTCAAGTAATTAACTCGGATTTGTTCGTGAACCTTTGAAGTAGTAAAAATAAAGATGTCTCAATTAGAAACGTACTGAGCGTCATCGGAAACTACTAAATCAGTCAATTTTAGCAAGATTTGGGGCAGTGCGCTATAAAGTAACGCCTCGTGCAACAACGGGCGCAAAACCAGCGACGAGGACACGCGCGGACGCGTTCTCACACCCGAGGCCTCGCGTTGCACCAGGGGTAAGTTTAGCGCACCATCCCACTAGCTCCGAGTCTTTCTCAAATAGACTGATTTAGTAGGTTCCGACTATTCTCAGCAAGTCTGTAATTGAAACGACATGTTTATCTGCACCAATTAAAAAGCGAGTTAACAAACATGAGTTCATCAGTTGAGTGATCGTGACGATTATCTCCTTATATTATGTTCCTCTGGCTGTATAACTCAACCGCCGGGACCGTATTTGTGTAGTTTTATCATTTAAAAACAGTCTGGAAAGTCTAAAATAAGCATCGTATAAATCGTTTTAATATGGGAACGATGTTTACTCTAAAGACGGTATGTTTATCATTATCATTGTTACTTGTTATTAGTAGTAGTAGCATTTATTGCAATAAACTGCAATAAAAAAAGCGGCCAGAGGATGACCCACATAAAGATTAAAAAAAAAAAACTCTACCACTTAGGACGTCACACTTCGTATCCTTTCTGAAACAGGCAGATTTGGGCTCACTAAGAAGCAGGAAGAGTCTCGGTTGAACGTTATTGAATCGGAAGCGCGGTGTGCGTATCGGGGCGCAACAGGCCCGCTCGACCGAAGCGACGGCAAAGCCGAGCTCAGCGATAAGACGAGCTCTGCGTGCGCGTCGACCCCCTCCGGCGATTAAAAGCCTTATTGTGCGCGGTGTGGACGCGGGCGGTCCTGTTTGCCGAGCGATACCGCACGCGCGACTGCATCGCCCAGCCGGAGCCTCGAGTCAGATAGACTACAATGCTCGCACCACTGTCACTTTCTCGACCCCTCGATAACGGAGCGCAGCACGAACGCTCTTTTAACTCCATCATGTGCGTCAGCGTTCCTCAAAAGAAAAGAAGACGCCCGCGACTTCCACCCTTCAAGCGTCGTCAGTTTCACTTTGCACCGAGAAAGTGAGAGAGTATTGGAGACTAGACCTTGCGGGAAACGTCAGGACGGCGTGCTCCTGTTGGAACGATCAGGGGGTATAGTAAAGCTAGCAGCCTCTGTCTTTACTAGGCTCTTCGAACGCGTTCTAACGCGGAACGCAGGCGTCTGGCGTCTGGCGTCTCGTCTGGCGTCTATTCATGGGCGTAAACAAAAGCAAAATGAAATTAACGGAAAACGTTGGAAGTATAAAGGCACTGTTATACTATGACGCTGTGCGCAGCGAACGTGGCGTAGCGCGGAACGTACGGGCCTTTCATTAGCCGACGGCCAGGAACTCGAGATTTGCGACCAATCAGTATACGTGTGCTCTGCACTAAGCCGCAATCGCTACTCGACGTCGAAGCGTAACAGAGCCTCGACTCGTGGCCTTAGCGTCTTATCGAAGCGCTATAAGGATGCATTCATTTCAGCTGTTTCTTGTATTGTTTTCCCTCATGCGTTTTTTTTTTTTTTTTTTTTTTTTTAGCGCTTTTAGCAACGTGAGCGGGCATATACACAAAGGCGCAATTGAAACGCGACCTCAAAAATGTTAGAGTTTGCTCGCGACGGGCGCTGCTTCAACTTGAGAGCTCCAGGCCTATTCGCGACGACTCCAACTAAATATAGGTGTCGGAGATGCGTGCCTCTGCTGAGCCTGTTTAGTGTGCTGGCTTCACTGAGCGGCACAAATATTCCTGCTTATACGAGGAAGCTAGGGTGTTATGTGCGCATTTTCCCTCCTTATCCTGAAAACAAAAGCGCTGTTTAGCGTAATATTTACGCCAAGAGGCACGTTTTGATTCAGAAAGGAAGCCGAACCTAAACTCAATTTTGAATTTAATTTCTCAGTAGAGGTCTTAATTTCGGATTCTTCCATACTTCAAGACGTGTCTTACATCGTAATTATTTAGTTAAAGTTGTTCGCGGAAACTTTATTTTTTGACATACGTGTTCGATTCAGGCTCTTCAAAATATTTTGGAGATTTCATTGACCCTTTAAAGACAGGGTCTTCGATACACTTTAGAGGTAACAAACTATTGTAATCGTTGAAAAAAAATCATTGCTAATATTTGTGCGTTTTCGCTACCTTTTCTTGCTCAGATAATTGTGATGTGAAATAATAAACTGCGAGCCTTTCAGTGGGTTTTTGGGTATTTAGATGACTAATTGCTTTAATATTATTCCTAGCATAAGAATAACTGAGTAAATCCCATTTTTACATTATGTTCACAAAACGTATAAATTAAGAAGCGCTGTTCTCACTACAGAAACGCAAAGACGCAATCCCACCCAGAGAGCTGAAGTATGTGTTTTGTAAAGCAACGCATGACTCATAGGACTCTATATTGCATTCATTGTTTGACTGCTTGTCTCTATGGATAACGATATCAGTTTTTCATGTGCTAAAAAGAAAACAAGATGATACCTTTCTGTAAATACTATTTTGGTTAAATGGCGTATTCTTGTGATTGCGGCGGTAATTGGGGGCATACATTGCCGTCATTTGTATTAAGAATAATAATATTAAAATTAAGATATTTGAATATGTAATTTTTCAAGCTCTAATAAAATTTGTTTCTTATGATCTAATTTCAAAAGCGCGAACAACTATAACATTCAAAAGTGTGTTAATTATCATCACTGGTGCAAATTGCAGCATTTTTAACTACTAAGTTATAAAAAATAATCTAAAATATATGAAAATATTCTAGCTGATGCGAGAAATTTATGTAGAATTACATTAATCGTGAGTAAAGCATATGGTGCTATCAAAGTCGCGACTTTTGACAATCGGCAAAACTTCCAAAGTCGCCGCCAATATCCTTTCTGACCAAATGCACGAAAATAAATAAATACACATATATAAAAAACAACATTTTTTTGGTTTTAATTACCAATTTTTTATTGCATTTAGTTACTTTCATTTTTAAGCGCCATCCTTTTGTCAATCTTAGCCTTTCCAGTTCAGAAGAACGTTTACTTGCTTGCACATCTGGTCACTGTAGCACGTTCCGTTGGCGTTGGAGCCGGTGGAATTGTAGTGAGTTTCAGTATTGCGTGTACGAGCGAACGCAAACGCTATGTGTTTGTGTTAGCTTTCCGTGTTCCACACTGCGCGTGCGCGGAGCCCGAAATTGCGGTCTTGGATGGTGCATGGCGATGAGGCGCACGCACAACGTGGGGCACGCAACTCTAACGCAAACACACACTGCTTGCGTTTGCTTCTATGCGCAATACTAAAACCCTCTAATAAGGTACAATCCCATACCGGCTGCAGCACTACGTCGGGGCAGTGAAGAGTGTTGTTTGCATTCGGAAATGAAATTTCGCGAGCCATGATCGCCAGCAGTTCCGCCGTGCCCGCTGAGGAGGAGAATCGGGGGTCCCTCACTATAGAGCGCTTCCCGTTTCCGCCGCGGGAGGGCGAGCTGGAGGCGCGAAAAGTGGATCCGCGCAAAACGATATTGGACGATGTCGCTTTTCTATATCGCCGACTGATTTGACGTGTTTGGAAGACGGAAAAGTGTTTTCTGCGATTTCAGATGACACTTCAAATAATTGGCGACCGTGGCTGATTTTCAGCACCAAGATGGCTGAGATGGCGTTAAAGAGATGCTGAAACGAAATTTGGATTTCGCAAAATAGGCCCGCAGAGGCGATTGAATGGGGGACGCTACACGGACTCCAAAACATTACTCGTGCATCGATATCTCAAATGGATGGCCGTATTTTTGGAAGGGCGCGATCGAGCGAGGCCTATGACGTCACAGTCCTGCTGGAACACTTGCGAATGAGGGGAAGTGGCCTTGCTTCTCTCCTTCTCGCTTTGGTTCGCAAGCTCGAGGGCATGAAGCGAAGAGGAGAGGGAATGAGAATCGTGACGTGGCATGTCCCGCCTTACCTGTCGACCGTGTTCAATGGCGCACTTCTTTTTCAAAAATACGGCCAACCGTTAGAGATGTCGCTGTATGAGTGATGTTTTTGGAGTTTTGCAGCGTCCCCCCTATCGCTCCAGCCTTGTTTTGTGAGCTCCAAATTTCCGCTCAGCATCCCTTCAAGGTCGGTTCACACAGCACCGTCTTCTTACATTCTGTTATGTTACCGGAACTTGGGCCTGCATGCTTACGTCGAGAGTCGCCGGGACATCCGTGCATCGTACATATGAAGCGTGGCAACCAGTTGAAGGAATAGTTTTGCAGGAAACGTTTGAAGCATGGATGTACCGCTAACTTAGAACGTAACATAAGGAAACGCAAGAAACCGCTTCTGTGTGAGTGGTCCTTTACTCCGAGACGAATTTAGTTACGGTGGCTATAATGTGGGGAGCGCCAGGTAGCGCGCATACTGTCGAGGCCGGCTATAACGAAGTCGGTTATAATGAAATGGCGGATATAGCGAAGTGATTTCCGATTCTATTCTTGCGTGTTCGGGGCGTCGCTTCCGTCGAGAAAACGGGTACGAGGTCCTGTCGTTGCGTAATATTGACGTCAGCGAGTCATCTAAATGCCCGTGAGAGAAGGCAGAGATTGGTGCCTCGAAAACGTTACCAATTACGTGTTCTTGCACGTCGTATTCACGTTCGTAATAGGCGATGCCGAGCTTTATTGACTTTCGATCCTCGGCTACAAGACATCCGCGCAAGATTTGTCGACTGAGTCTCTCGGACGTCTCATGTGCGTTGCTAGTGTTACTTCTGATGGCACAGCATAGATAAAGGGAACTACTTTTTTTTATGCAGTCTTTGTTTATTTGTACCGCGCATATTGTTTTCAAGAAACTATGCATCGACATGACTATTCAATGCAGGGGTGTTTCCCCATTCCATGAAACACTAGTCAAAACATGAATGCGAGACAGTTGTCGATATAAGGAGTGTACACTAGTATTATTAAATTATCATTGCGCTTTCATAACTGGATGAATGAACATTATTAGCGGAACGTGAAGTTAGACATAAATTTAGAAAAGACGCCGTTTGTTGTTGTTTCTTTCCTTTCTGTTTTATAAATGCCCCTATGAATGCTTTTCGGTGAGAAATTTATAAAACAAACGTGCAGAAAATGCGAGCTGCAACGGAAGACTGGATGTTTTGTTTCTCCGAAAACTTATACTGTTTGGGATGCGGTGCAGGGAGTTCACGGTGAGCTACCTGGCGCGGGACGACGAAGGCGGCAATGCGTACCTGGGCCTACTCTCCGACTGGGACCTGGACGCGGCGTTCCTCAGCTCGTCCGAGCCATGCCTCAAGCTCAAGGTTGAGCTCAAGCCCTTCGAGCAAGGTGCGCCAGCGCCCCCGACATTTCCATCTTCTCGCCAGCAGCCCTTTAGTCCTAAACACCACCTCGATGTGCATAAGTTACGACCCCCAAGCACGTCCATTCACCGCAGCGCTGGTTATCGAAGCTTCTTCGCGTGCTCCGTTTAAAGACCAGAGCCGCAGGATACGTGACGACCGGGGTATTGAAGTTCTTCCATACCCAACTGTTTGGGTAAAAGCTGCGTCCACGGTTTATACCGATCAATGTGTAGCGCGCGCCCTTTCATACGAGTCGTATAGAGACCTTTCCAAAAAAACTGAAAGACGTTTACACTAGAGCGCAGCTCTTGAGGAGGAGGGTACGGAGGAAACGGTACGCCCCTCCTCCTCATCTCTACCCTCTCCTCCTCTCTCTTTCTCTCGTAATCTTCCCTCCCCCTCCTCCTCCCTTCCGCGCGGTGCGTTATGGAAAACGTTCCATAATTCAACCCGCGCGTCACCGCGGTGCATTGTGGGACGTTTCCCATGGTGCACCGCGCGGTTACAACGACGGCGACGACGAGCTGCGCTCTAAAAAGAGCGTGTAGCCAGTGACATGTTTGGCGTCCTTGCGCATGCATCGCGTGCTTTGCTCGTTTTCCGAAGCGACGAGCACGCACTTGCCCGGCTGTGAAGATCACCTGCTGGACTGGGGTTTTGTAAACGTCGGAAATGTCTATAGATGGGTTCGTTGTGCGAGCGATTCGTTACATAGACTCTTCTATTGAAAGCGCCAGAAGGAAGCGCTGTTGGCAATGTACGACCCCGCGAACTCGCGTTTGAATGAGAGGAGAAACAACCCTCGCCATAGCACCGCTTCTTGCGACGTTCGTGAAGTATTCTTATGACCAGTCCTCCGGGTGATTATCTAAAGAAGGGCCCGTTAGCGAGAATTTCTCGTTGGAGAGTCTTTTGAGGCCCGTTCACACATTTGCGACTTCTTAAATCCGAGTGCCTTGATATTTCTGAAATCTCTTACGACGAGAGTAGAGTTCCAATATAGGCTCCCCACAGGAGCCAGAGTTGCGCGTTCATCCCCGTAGCGCCGTCTTTCCTGCATGGCAGGTTGATCCAGCTCCTCACGTGACTGAATTCGGCGAATATCAGCGCCGCGCTCAAAAGCAAGGGATCGTTCGGCGGGGCGCGCGCAACGTCTACTTTCCTGCACGGCACTTGATCCGGCTCATCACGTGGTTGGATCTCGGCGAATAGCGGCGCGGCGGCACGTGGAAAACAGACGCGCAACGCTGGCTCCCGTAACTGTAGACGAGAGGACACATTGGGGGGCACCACCTATCGGGTAGCAGTGGAACACTGGGCGGTCCGGTATGTTTTCAACTTCCTTCGGGCATCATTTTTTCTTTCCTTGGCCTGAAAAACTTTTGTCAACGTTATAAGCGAACATTTCTCATAAGTAGTACATGCATTTGACCTCGCAAATACCGCCAAACCTAGTGAAATGCAGTTCCAGGGTCACCGCATAGATGGTGCCAGCGTGTCAGTGTGTTCTCTCGTCATAATAGATTTTAAGAGATTTTAAGGCGCCCGGTTCTAAGGAGTCGCATGTGTGTGAACAGGCCTCAATACTACCGTAAGACGACCGATCTCGTCTTATGCGTGTCATAGCATAGCAGCACCAACTTCGTGACTCCTGTAGAACTTCAAAGTCAGAGGAATTTTAACATCAACAGTCTCAGAAAGCATGCCAAAACAGAACAGCCGGAAGTCTCTTGTAGGGAATAATGGGGGTGGAGGTGTGTTTGTGTTTGTGTGTGTGTGTGTGGGGGGGGGGGGGGGGGGGGAGGGGGTGCGGCGGCAAGAGGGCGGTTTGTGTTTGTAAGCAGTACAAGGGTCTATATAATTCTATTAAAAGGTTAAAAGGCGCGAACAAACAGGACGAAAAAAGAGACACGTACAACACGGACAGGCGCCTGTCCGTGTTGTACGTGTCTCTTTTTTCGTCCTGTTTGTTCGCGCCTTTTAACTTTTTAATCGATATGAACCAACTAGCCCCAACCAAAGTTCTATTGCACTATATAATTCTATTCGTACATTTCTGCGTATACGCGTTCGATGTAATGTAAGCAGACGCTGATGGAGTTTCGGTGGTAGCACATATGTGTTCCACGTCCGGGCCGTGTTGCTGGCTTCGTTAAACAGTCGCCATTCTGCTACACCACGAGTCATCCCAACCTGTCCAGTGCTGTGAATAGAAACCCTCCCTCACGTCACGTGGCACTCACACAGCATCGGATTCATGCTACTCAGTGTAATGCTACGGTGCACTAGAAATAGAATACGGGGTAGTGTGGAAACCGGAGCGACTCGCGTGAGGCATGTGGTGTAGATCGCGATGGGTGTCGACACCGGCGTTTCGGCAATAGGGTCACTATGGTGGTGGTTGTGCACGTGCGGACTGCAACGGCTTTCTGGTGCCCTGTCGACTGCAGCCCCGCGATTCTTGTCTACACGCGCTGCCTCACACGCTCCCATTACCGAGCCGGGCCGGTCCAAACAGCACCCCGTAGTGTCTAGTACACTCTCTTCATGCTGCCTCGTGGACCACGCAGGCTGGAGCCGTTTGTCGTGAAACATATCGCGCATGGAGAGAGGCGGCGCGGCGAGCTTCTGCAGTTCTTTTGCAAAGTGTGCGCTCTAAACATCGCCCTCAAATATGGTGACCGGTGAACACCCCCCGTCCCTTACGGTCCTACGGCATTTTTTTGGGTAAAAAAAATACCTACGGCATTTTTTTTTTTTTTTTCATTTTTTAGCGAGTTTGTTGCAATGGATTTTTTTAGCAAATTTGTTGCAATAGATTTTTTTTTTTTTTTTTTTTTAGCGATACCGCGCCATCTAGTGGCGCTGATTCCAAACTATGCGCACTCTCTGGGAGTGGTCACGTCCGCCGCTTCGGCGGGGCCGCGGCCGCCATTACGAGGTCTATACGGTCGCGGAAACCCTGAGCTCTGGAGTGCTCGCATAGCGCCTTTCCCGATGTCTTTTTATTGCTGTGTTCCACTCTTCTAGCAGCGTGAAGGATAACCTCTCGAACAGGACGAGATTTCCTCTTTTGCTGCAAAAATATACAGCCGTCAACAAAAAATGCATCAGTATAAACCGCAGTCCTAAAGGGAAGCTGAAGAGGTCCTTGAAGACAAAAACGAGTTAGAAGTGAATTTTAGGGTGTTTTTTATCCCGTGAATTTGAATATCAGGTTAGTTTTCCTCGAAGATGTAACGAAACGCACACGAAAACCGTCCGACTATACTCTGTTTCATAGCTAGCGTGCAACGCTGTCAAAGCTACTGGCGCGAGCGCGTGGCTTCATGTATGGTTTTGTTTGCGCGAGAACGCGTGCAGATGATCAACGAGATCAAGCCCCATGCTCGCGCTAGCAGCTTTGGTAGCGTTGCACACTAAGGCCGTGTTCCAAAATTTACTCGATCTTACTCCCGGGTAAGGGTTTTGCACCCTTGGCGTTCTGAAACCTACCCGCGTCCAGCGTTTTTCAATCTGTGCTGTCACGTGATACGATCCGCCGGAGGAACTCGGATCCATTTGGGTAAGATTTGGAACACAGCCATAGTATGAAACAGAGTAATCGTTATGTCATGAAAGGGTCTTTCGGCCGCCAAGCGCGTGTCGCTCGTGTGGACAACGCGTAGGTACCTTCCCAGTAGAGGTAGTAGAGTGCTCCTGGCCGGTTCCATTTGCATTGTTCGTGTGTCTGGCGCGTGATTTTCTCGCTTTTAGGAGCGACGAGCATGCGCGCGCTGCTCTGATGAAGTCGCTGGGCTCGCGAACCTTAGAGGAGTGCATATTCCCCCGCACTGACACCAGTCGTGACGTCTATTTGTAACTTTCGTGAAAAATAGAGTTCCTGTATAGGCTCCCTGCTACCACTCATTCACACTGGAAGCGGATCCGCGTTCGCAAAGCGGTTGCGAACGCGGTTGTATAGAGATCCAGTACAATTGCACGCGCACTTCATGTTATCGGGTGCGCGTGCAATTGTACTGGATCTCTATACAACCGCGTTCGCAACCGCTTTGCGAACGCGGATCCACTTCCAGTGTGAATGAACGGCTAACGGGAGCCAGAGTTGCGCGTTCATCTCCGTAGCGCCGTCTGTCCTGCGCGGCATGTTGATCCCGCTCGTCACGTGACTGAATTCGGCGAATAAGCCACGCGTTCGAGGCGCGCGGCGCGCTCAAAAGCAGGGGAGTTAACGTACGGCGGGGCTCGTGCAACGTCTACTTTCCTGCACGGAGCTTGATCCGGCTTTTCACGTGATCGGATCATCGGCGAATAGGGAGTATTCACTGGACGCCATATTTGTGGGTGCTTTTTAAAGCGCATGCTCACAACGAGCCCACATTAATAGGCTGCTAAGACCGGCAATCCTGATGGTGTGGAATGCACGCTGAAAAAGAGCTGTGGAAGCTCGCCGTCAGCACGCGCTCAGCAGTCGCGCACACAGCTATGGCCGCCGGTGAATACTTCCTATAGCGGCGCGGCGGCACGTGGAAAACAGACGCGCAACTCTATAGACGCTTTACACACGCGCCAAATTACAGCCGCCATTGCTGACCTTCTCTTGTCTTACCGAGATGCCGAGCAACTGAAACGGTAGTTGACGATCCTCTACAAAGGCCGATTCTTTAGAAAAAGCAGGGGGGTAAAGGTGGGTGAGGAGGAGTGGCAAATCCCGTGCGCCGACATCCTGGGTCCCGAGTGAACGATCGCGAAAGAAAGCGACAGAACACGAGAGAAAGAAAGCAACGTTGCCATGGTAAACGCGGTAAACGCGAAGAGTGTAAACTCTCAGCAATATAAACAGTGATAATTTAACGTTGTAAACTAAATTATGAGCTATTCTAACGCTTATAAAAAGCAATAAAGTCATTACGCTGCATTAACTTCCCTTCTGTCGAAATCTCGGAAATCTGGTGGTTGCGCAGTTTCGTATTCCTCAACCGCGCCCAGCCGCGCCCCACCAGCAAAGCCGGGTATATGGTTTAGTTTAGCGTTAACGCGAGGCCGTACATCTGCGCGCTATGCAAAAAGAAACCTTCGAAAGGAACGCGAGTATTTTTCCACCGGTAAGTTCGTGAATTGTTGAAGTTCACGAAACTGCTCTGATGATGTAACCGTGTTTGGGACCCAGAGGGTCTGCCTGCATGGTCCGCCGCTTGCGGCAGCCAGAATGTATGGGAAAATGGCGGACCTTTTCCTCTAGATTTAGTATATGATCTCTATGAGAAAAAGACTCAGTAACACTTAAAATGGCAATAACCTGGCCTGCTATGGTAATCATGAAGTGAAATAAACGGAATAAGAGGAAACAAAAACTGAAGGTCAGTTATGGCGGCGTCCATGTACAGCTGCTGCAAAGCGTCTATAGGCGCTGAAGATGCGCGACCGCAGAAATTCCGAAAACTCCTTTGATACGCTGTGGGAAGGAGGGGCTACAGCGATACTTCGAAAATGATTTTTTGCAGCCTCCGTGCACCAAACTGAAATTAAATCTCGGTATTCGTGATCCTGGAGGCCGAATGAAGACAATTTAAGTGTTTTTACTCAAATACAGAACCGTTCCAGCTTCCCCTTAAAAGGGCCATGAAACGATTTTTCTAATTCTTCTTCCTTAGCTGTGATCCTCAACTGAAAAGCGAATTGATAAATCACGTGGTCGTGACATGCTAGGGCACCGATGCGATGACCCCACACATTAGAAGAAAAAAAAGTATGTAGCCATTACACCGCTTGTCACACGACACCTCTAAACTTCAGTTGGACGTACAGCGCACTGACGTTCAACCGACGCTACCATTTTTCACGAGCGGCTTGATGGACGAGTTGTACAACTTATTAAAATAGCTTAAGCTAAAAAAAAAAAAAGTAATTTGGGTTTTCTTGGTTCTACTACAAAACATCAGATTTTTTTTCTGTACGCTTTGATGCCTACTTTAGCCGTTTAATATATGATATCGCATGCACCGCCATCGAGCCTCTCGTAAAAGATGGGGACGTCAGTTTGACGTCGGTGCGCTGTACGGCAAACTGAAGTTTGGGGGCGTCGTATTAGCGGCGAGATGTTTTGGTAGCGCCCTCCTATGGTTTCCTCTCGTGACGTCATTACCTTGCGAACAACAAGTTCGATGGCGTTTGTAATTAGCATGGTGGAAGCCTTAAATCATTGCGCTCTGAAACCAACACTACCAACACCGCCAAAATTGGAGTTCTTTCATCACTCTTATTTCCGTCGATGAGAAATCTTTTGCTGACGTCATAGTCAGCATTCGGCCAATCGTGGAAGGCCGACCACAGCGACGCTTTCGATCGCGCACGTCGCCAATATGTGACAAGGAGTGTAAGGGCTACACCTTTTTTTTTTTTTTTTTTTTCTTAGAGTGCAAGTTTTCAACACCATAGAACTTGTAATTCGCAAGTGATAATAAGTTCCTTCAAGGCACTCATTGGCCACGTTTGCATGAGTGACGCAGTTCTCGTGTCCAACGCGTGAGCTGGGGTCGGCTGACGTCATTTTGGCATTTCTGACATGCTTTAGATACCCCGGATGTATCATATGAAAAGGCGGAGAGGTTTCGAGGAAAAGGAGGTACGAAATAGTTCACTATACTTTCAAATGTTTGTACCATAAAGCTTTTATTTATATATATATTTTTACCCTCTTTTGACTTACTAAGTGATAGGCGATTAGTAAAGGCCCAATCTAAAATCATTTATCCCATGCCAAAATTAATTTCATGGCCCCTTTTTAAGTGCGCGCTCTCTACGCTCAAAATAAATTAAGTCGGGATAAGCGCGCGTGCACAAGGATTAATTGTGACCAGTTCGAGCAGTAAAAATGACTATTATAGGTATACGAGCACGCACACAGCACTCCCCGAGGATACTTCATTCAGCCATGAGCTATTCTGAAATTCGGGTGCGGTCTTCTTCCGTGAATGGTGTCTCATTGTTCTTGCCGAGTGATCCGTTGCTCGAATCAACCGAGAAATCGTTATAAAATGAAAGAGGAGGAAACATAATAACACTAAATATACGAGGATGGCGGAAGCATGTTCAGTCAGGCTACCTCTCAAACATTGCTGGTAACATTCTTTGTGCAACAAGTTGTTCCAAATACACTCTAAACGACTTAATTTTCGCGAGGACCTATTTTTCGCGAAATTCGGGACTTAAGAAATATTGCGAAAAATAGATCGCGCAAATAAATTACCATGTATGGTAAGGAATACTAAGCGTACCCTCCAAATCGCAAAATATTGTGCCTGCCAAATATTCTTGATATCCACACTTCGTAACATTGGCGAAATATCGAGACCGCGAAAATGGGGTTAACAGTAGTTGCTTTCGCCTTTGCCGAAAGGCCTCGGAGGAGAGAACGTCGTGTCGAAGACTGCCACCGCCGCCGAAGCAAACGTTCCCTATACTGCTGCTGCCAAAGACGCGTTAAGAGACGCGATCATGCAAACGTCGGCAACCATGGCGTGGCAAGCTACTCAATCGACGATGTAAACCGAATCAACAGCGAACACGCGAAAGCGACTCCATCGCCGGTGCGGACAGCGTCACCAACCAAAACTCCGAAAACCTACTCAATCTACGATGCAAGAACGAAGCCTCGAAAACAAAGTCGCCGTTTGGTACGAAGGTGCCTCCAGGTAACTTTCCGTCAAAAACTTGAAACTGCGCTCTCAGTTTTTGTCGCTCGCCTTGTGGGCGACGTAGTTGTCATTTAATTTGTCGGTAGTGCACCACTTCGGTGCACTACCGATCGGGGGTGCATACCACATAACGGCAGCGCCTTGCCCGATCATAGTGACCAGCCGCCTTTTCAAACGCCGTCAAGGCGGCGCGGCTCATTGTTACCAGGAGCAATATCGGGAAGGGTCTATTATCGATGATAACAGCGATTAGAACTATCAGGGCGGATTTGCTTCTGTATCGATCAGCTTTCCAATCTGATAGCGAACAATCGGCCAACACCTCCAAGATAACGAGGCAGAATTTTTCTACGTCATTCATAAGAGGCATGTGCGGGGCACAGCCTCTACACGAGTGTTGCGTCAGCAGGGACTCGTGACTGTCTGACTGAACACGAGTGTTAGCCGAACGCCGAAGCAGCACTTGCGTCCAACTTCTGAAACCGTGATGGCCTCCGGTAGGTTAGAAACTTCTGCACTGCGGCCTTGGTACCTAAGGTGCATTGAGCCAACACCTCCTAAGCAGTAAGTCCGAAGCCCTGGAGTTTCTAGACTCGGCACGAGTACTGTTTCAGCGTTCGGCAGGGACGCGTCTCTAATCGATCAGATCACGAATACTTGTCGAACGCTGTCACAGCACTCATTGTCCAATCTCTGCCCCGCTCCTTGTACGCGTCTAGAAAATCCAGTGCTACGACCTTGAATTGAGGAAGTGCCGACAACCCCCCCCCCCCCCCCCCTTTCCCTACCCTCTAAACAGCTAAGAAAAAAAAGAAAGGAAGTCATCCCTGTTAATCGTCTTGCGCCGCCTCGCGTCAGCGTCACCGCCAGCGCGTCTTGCGGCTTCTCATGACACGGACGCCGCACAGCGGCAGACGCGGCGACGCCAAGACGGACACGTCGCCGCTTTGCGGCGTACTCTCGTCGAGGTGCGTCATGTTGTCCGCTTGGGGCGCGTCAGGAATCCACTAACGATGACGTCGTGCTCAGGCCTTGTCTTCAAGGGGATGTTGGAACTCGGCCGTGCCATGGGGAAGAGAAAGGATAAGAAACAACAAAAAAAAAAAAAACAGATAACCTGTTCGGTCCCTTATTGGTCGCAGACATAATCGTGCTTATCTTTGATGCGGCGGTGTTACGACAGGAGCTTCGACTGCGGCGTGTGGCCGCGGCGAATAGCATTCCGCTAGCGATTTTGGGTACGCGGTAGGGGATGTTGTAAAGAGTGGCAGCGGTCAACGCGTCCCTTTGGAAGAGTGTGGTGTTTACGGTGTCCTTTTGTTGCTGTTGTTAGCAGGGCTCGAGGAGTGGGATGTGGTTACCCCTGTGGACGTTACCAGGACGGAGGTGCAGACCAAGCCTTCCTTCACGGGGACCTTGCTCAACCAGGTGCGTGTAGATAAGGCTCGCCGTGGTCTGTTCTTCGTTGAAGTTGGGCTGGGTTGCCGTAATGCTCCTTGTTCGAAGTTGGAGAAGTAGGGTGGTCGTGAAGTTCACAATCCTGATTACTGAAGAAAGAAAAGAAAAATTACAACTTTGTTGGATTAAAGTCAACACTTTCTCACACCCCCATAACTTGGTGAGATGTTTTTTATGAGCGCGTGCACGCAAGAAAACGCTCGTCAGTTTTTACTTCGGTCCGGTGCATGGTTTACCAGAGCGGAGCTTACGGCGCCAGTATCATCTTTTTTTCTTAACATTTTTGTCAAACGTTTTAGAGCGCGTAACCGCCCCGCTAAATTTAGCGGTGAAATCGAATTTGTGTTGAGGTCATGTGTCACCAATTTTCTCGCTAAATTTGGCGGGGACACTGTGGGAGGAGGGGAGGGTACGGAAGAGAAGGGTGGGAGGGTACGCCGGAGGGGGGTGTACAAAGGAGGAGGAGGAAGAAGAGAGAAGGAGAAAGAGGAAAGGAGAGGGGGAGGGGAGGAGGAGCATACACTCCCCTCCTCCCCCTCAAGAGCTGCGCTCTAAGTTCGCATTAGTGATTTGTAAACATCTTTCATTTTTTTCTTCTTAATAATGAGGTGCCCCGTGATTACTTAAAAATGTGCAATAAATTGTATGCTTACACCCAGTCAATTCGTCCCTGAGGTGATAGGAAAACCCAACTTGTCAGAGGTATCGTTGCATGAAGACGTTGGAGAGAGGCTGAGGATGTCGGGCGGAAATACTGCTACACTGCTACGCTGCTACGACAACCGTAGCAGTGTAGCAGTCTTATCGGGGACGGCTATTGGGGAGGAGATCGAACAGTCACGCCTCTAGCAGTACGCTTCAGCTGTGGGGACAACAAACCGTATTTTATTGTCTGTTTTTGATCCGAGAAATTGAAAATGTCGATTCGAAGGCCGCTCCTCGTGCGACTAAGGCATTGTTCAGAACAAAGCGCTCGTGCCCAAACCGTTTTTTTTTTTTTTTTTTTTTTTTTTTATATAGGCGAGGTTTAAGTTTTTTGTTATGCTGTGTTAGTAAACACCTAGGTGTGGGGACAGCAAGCTCTATAAAGCACCCCCTATAGTTTGATTTCCTGCCCAATAACATGGCTTGCGATTTGTATCCCCAGTTCCTAAGAGACGATGACAAAGAAGCTACAACCGAGAAAGAAAACAAAAGAGCAAGGGGGCTTCTCCCCCGGAGGGGGGCTACCGAACCCAGCATGCGGGCCCCTGCGTAGCAAGCGCAGCCATGCTGACCCTCTTGGGCCTCAAGCCCCGACCCCCGAAGGGCCTGGGAGCCCCGGTGGCCAGAGCCGCCGCGGACCGACGGCTGCGGCCTTCGGCACAGCCCCGCTACAGGGCGGCCGCCTGGTTGCTCTTCTTGCAGATGGAGAGGACGCTCACCAAGTTCCAGAAGGTCCTGAACCTGGCCAGTCTCCAGGACTCTGCGCAGGGTCCCTGGAGCGGCTCGCACGAGCCCCTGCCCATCAAGAACCCCATGGGAGACCGCGAGTTCCGCAGCTACCTGGACGGCGACGGCAGGCTGGTGCAGTCTCGAGAACTGCGCCACTCGGTGTACCTGGGCGGCGTCGAACCTTCGCTGCGCAAGGTGGTCTGGAAGCACGTCCTCAATGTCTACCCGGAGGGCCTGAGCGGCAAGCAGAGGCTGGCGTACATGCGGCGGAAGAGCGACGAGTATCAGAAGCTACGCTCCGCGTGGCAAGACACCATGGCCCGTGGCGCCCTTACGGAGGAGATGCAGTTCGTGACCAACATGGTACGCAAGGACGTACTGCGGACCGACCGCACTCACCGGTTTTACGCGGGCGCCGACGACAACGCCAACGTGGTGTCGCTTTTCAACGTGCTCACTACGTTCGCGCTCAACCATCCGAGCCTGTCCTACTGCCAGGGCATGAGCGACCTGGCGTCGCCCATTCTGGTGACGATGCGCGACGAGGCGCACGCCTACGTGTGCTTCTGCGCCCTGATGAGGCGGCTGGGTGGCAACTTCAACCTGGACGGCGCCGCTATGACTCTCAAGTTTCAACACCTCTCTGAGCTGCTGCAGCACTTCGATCCGGTGTTTTACGAGTACCTCAAGCAGCGCGGCGCGGATGACCTCCTCTTCTGCTACCGCTGGCTCCTGCTCGAACTCAAGCGGGAGTTCGCTTTCGAAGACGCCCTGCGCATGCTGGAGGTGCTCTGGAGCTCGCTGCCTGCGTCCGCTCCGGAGGGCGAGCTGCCGCTCTACGAGGTGGCCTTCACGAGAGACTCTGTCGTCGCGGTGGACCCTCAGTCACCTCGGGTGCCCCTCCCGCGTCAGAATGCTTACACCAAGGTCTGCGCCATCCGCAAGCAGAACTCGGCCGGATCGGTGCACGGCACCCCGACGGCGTCCGCAGCCGCCGAAGATCAAGCCGGCAGTGGGGACGAATCGGACTCTCAGGGCTACGAGCCCCTCTCGACGACAATCACTCGCGAATTGACGATGGACCTCGAGAACCTCAACCGGAGAATATCAGGGGCCGCGTTCGGCTACGGCGGCGCCACGGAGGCCCCAAGCCCGTCGACTACAGACGACCAGGACGGCGGATGGGAGGACGGCGAGCTGGACACTCCAGGTGGCCATGGTGACGTCGCTCCCCGACGGAGGAGGTCCCCCAAGGGGCGCTCCAACTCTGAGTCGGACTCGGAAGAGAGTGGCGAGGCATCGCGGCGGACGTCGAACAACACGAGCGAGGGATACGTCTCCGAAGGGACGACATCGTCCAAGGAGGCTTCCACGGAAGCCCTGGACTCGGGCGTCCTGAACCACTCGTCGTGCGAAGAGGCCCTCGAGTTGGGCAGGGCCCGGGGCAAGGGCAGCGGACGTCTTCGGCTGCCCCGGCCCCAGGACCTGGGCGGAGGCAACCCGTTCATGATGTTCCTCTGCCTGACGCTCCTCGTCCAGCACCGAGACGTCATCATGCGCAGCGGCATGGACTACAACGAGCTGGCCATGCACTTCGACAAGATGGTGCGCCGGCACAACCTGCAGCGGGTGCTTCATCAGACGCGGACGCTCTACAACGAGTACCTCAACATGGGCTGGCCCAAGGAGGACCTCTGGAACCATCCTCTGGTCTGACGGACGCCCCGCGGTGGTGGCGGCGACGCAGCCTCCAGGCGGTCAAGACTACATTCCTCATCAGCAACCTTCATCCGCGGCCGCAGAGACTGTTCGCATCCAGTCGCGAGGCCTGTGTGCTGCGGCAGACTCACATCGCTTCATCCATCGCTTCGTTTCTCATAGGAGCCACGTGTGGGTCGTGTATCAATAGAGGCATACAACGATATCATTGTCTCTTGATCGGAGTTGGTCTCGCATTGGCCCCACCCATCTTCCTGCCCCGATGTCGCGAGTGCGCGTGGTTGTATACTGATGGGCTGTTCATCTTCTGGATGTCCGTACGACCATCTGCTAGGGATGCCGGTCTATGGGGTAGGGCTCCGATGGTTAGTGAGAATTTTAGCAATCTACATGACGGTTGTACCATATGTGCCGCGTCTCTTGACGTGACTTGACGCGGATGCGTGGCTTTTAGACTCTTTCATTTCATCATTGGGTCGCGACTTTGTGACTCGGTTAGCGACGCGCTCTCTGCTTTCTTTTAGCTGTGTATATTTTTTTAGAATGACTGCCGCTGCGAAGTTTGGGAAATGTGATATCATGTGTAGATTTTGTTTGCTTTTTCTTTTTATTTTATTTTTTTACTTTCCCTCCCCGGTGGAATCTCTCGCGGTTGTGTATATGCGTCTTGGGAGTGGTGGTTGTCCCCGGCTGGACTGTGGAACAACTCTGAAGAAGAATGTGTGCGACAGGAGTGCTTCAATAAGTGTTAGAGAGAGAGCGAGACCGCGTGTCCTGTACAGCATCGACGTGGACAATAAAAGTCAATAGAAATAGACTTTCAGGATGGCGTGCGGAGCGTCGTCTGTGTGCCTTTCTTGTGTGTTTCTTCAGTCGTCGATGCTGTTGCTTTTTCACATGTTTCAATGGCATTCGCAACTTGCAGCGATGGTGGTGCCGCTCCCTAGTTCGTTGAAGATGGAATTCCCAATAAGGTTGCTGGCTTACAAGTTCTTTACATGAGAACATAAGCATACATTGCACGTATTTAACAAAATTATAATTACGAGTCACAGATCAACTTTGTAATGCTGTTATATGTCAATCGCCCAAATGACAACCATTTTAGTAGGTGCGCACGCACGCACGCCCTTGACAGCGCCGTCTCCTTCCGCAAGATCATGTTCGTCTGCTATGGACACTGTTTACAAAGAAGTCGGCATTTGTTAACTTTGGGTGTGGGCACTGGACGTGCGTAGAAATCAGAATAGCTTGAAGTGAAGCGTCTGCTCGTGCGCCGTGCTGACAACAGCGCCACCGCAGCGGCGTCACGTCAAAGCGGCGTTCTCTCGAATATACAGGTACGTGAACGTAGCGTTTGAAGCCAGCAACAGCCGACGCCATTTTCCGAATGTCGTCTGCTAATTTAGAGACATCGTTCTTCGTTCGCAATATTAGGCCTCCTGCGCTGCCCAGGGGGCGCTGCGAAAAGGGACTTCTTAGGACTGATTTTGGGTGGTACAAACCGGCACAAACTTGGGCGTCTCAAACTTTGACACATGTAGAAGCGTGACTGCACTGGTGTGGAACGCGAGATCACGAGAAAAATACAAAGAAACAACAAAATTTAGAACGTCGTCGAAGCACAGGTCAAAGTTGAGGCGCTTATTAACCGCTCAATCACACTGGAAACGGATCCGCGTTCGCAAAGCGGTGGCGAAAGCGGTTGTATAAAGATCCAGTACAATTTCACGCGCACTTGATGACATCAAATGCGCGTGAAATTGTATTGGATCTTTATATAGCCGGGTTCGCAACCGCTTTGCGAACGCGGATCCGCTTCCACAGTGAATGAGCGGCTTCCACTTCCAGTGTCAATGAAAAAGAATAGCGTCGAGACCTCAGATCTTCTAACGTCGCCACCCACAGATAAGAGACGCGTACCCTAGCGGTGGCGGCATGAATCTGGCCCTTACGTTTGTTTTGCGACGTTGAATCTAGCAAACTTCGGATGTCCAAAGGTGTTTTTTTTGTTGTTTTTTTTATCTTCAGCACTCGACAGAAAGAAGAAAAAAAGCAGACAACCTACTATAAGTAGTGCGAGGCCCATTCAGGTGAGCTTGTGCTACCCCAAAGGAAATCGTCTGTTTGTTTAAACTTCAGCGCAGGAGGCCTATAGCTTTGCGTTGCTATCAGTGGCTTGCAGTCACACTGAGCACGTATCAAGCACTCGTCCGCAGGGCCCAAAATCAATCCCGTGCGAAAATGCCAGATCGGAGCGGTTCCAGTTCGGATCCGCGCGGAGTCGCACGGTTCCAGACTTGTGGACATAGATCCGCGCGGATCCGATCTGGTATTGCGCGGTTCTGGGTGTAACCAGTAGGATCCAGTGAGACGCAACGCACTGGAACCGCACGGTGATGGGTGGGTCCGATCCGTTCCCCTTGGTTCCAGTAGGGACATAGATAAGGTGAGGCCAGATAAGTCTGCTCCCAGAAAGCGGGCGCACACATGCGTGACTGGAGGAGGAAAGGAAGGGGGGGGGGGGGGGGGGTCGACGGGGAGCTCCCGCTCTCTTCCCCGCGGTCTCTCGCAGGTCACGTGTTAGGAACAGGCGCATCCGCTACGTAAGCACTGCGAGCGGCCGTTCTCCGCGCCTCGCTTTGTCTGTCGCACAGTGCTGCCAACCTTGTGGATGTTTCCCTAGATCTAGGGATTTGTGTCATCGTTTAGGGACAAAGGGAAATTTGTTCAAATTTAGGGATTTTTAATGGGTTTCAGAGGGCTTTTGAGACACGTTCGTTCCCTTTTCCTCCTCGTTTTGGCCGAGTGCAGCGGGAAAAAGGCTTCTTTGTATATTGTCAGGGCCAGAGATAATCTCCAGTGGTAATAGCAGCGACTCGGGAAGGGGGGGGGGGGGGGGGGGGGGGGGGCACACAAGGCCAAACTAACAAAGTTTAATCATGCAAAAGGTTTTAACTAAGAAATTTTAACCTTTAAATGGCCACCGAACTACAGGATTCTATTCTTAAGCTAGTCCATAACGATAATATCAATATTGACGCGAATTAACACATTTTCTGAAAATCTCGGGAGATCTAGAGAATTTTCCGATAAAATTTGAGGAAGAAACGACCGCGGAGGTTAGCAACACCGCTGTCGCAGTCGGCGGCAGCGCTCCGAGAGTTTCCGTTCTCTGCACTGGTCGAACTGTCGGCCGGAGCTCGCCCGGCGGCGGCGTTCGCGCTGCAGGCGCGCGGATACTGACGTGCCCATCGTTTCCCTGGATGGATACCCACTGACCTCGGCTTTGAATCTTCATAAAGTATGAAGCTGCCGACCCATTGCACTTTGTCTAGGCATCTGGATGCGCTTGGCGCTGGTGTGCTTGGTGACAATACTTGGACAACTCGGATACCTCTTGCCCGCCGGAACTTTCCGATGCGCTCAACACTAGATTTTGTGCTTGTGCGTGCAGTGTGTGTGTTCTGTGCACCGTGTTTGGTGACGACGCCTGGACGACCTATGCGCCGCCGGAATTCCCGCTGCGCTCACCGCTGGACTCTACAAAGGTATTTCGCGCGATGCCCTTAGCCGTTACAAGCAAGAGATCGTCGCGATTGAGCGCAGCGCAGCGAAAATTCTGGCGGCGCACCGCCTGGGTCTGAAATTGGGGCACAGCGGTTCGTACCTCGGTTGGTACCGCGCGGGTACCAGTGGCGCTGCAGAGCCACTGGAGTCAACCGGTTCCGCCTGGATTTGAAATTGGGGTACCAGTTTGTATCCCGCCTGGAGCTGTGCGGCTCCAGGCGGGATAAAATCTGGTGCCCCAATTTCAGATTCAGGTGGAACCGGCGTTTTTCATTCCGGCCTGTATCTGACATTTTCGTACTGGCCAGCCTGCGATCTACGATTACGCTAGCTCGGGGCTTCAAGCTAGAGGCTTCCAAACAGACCGCGCTACGGGCGTTCACCTCTCGCTTTGCTACGCTCCACTCGGGAGTTTTCCGTACGCTGCGGATTACAGGCCCGTTCGGGCGCGTACTCAATCCATGCTTCGAAGTGACGGCACGAGCTCCCGCTAGCTCGTGCCGTCACTAGTTCTGGTGTACGGTCTACTAAAAGTATTCTCATGTCCAAACTTGCAGTTTGCCTCGCCGGAAAATCTAAAGCGGGTTTCACATGAAGCGATTTTGGCTCGAGCGGCGCAATTTCTGCCGTCGCGGCGCTCGTTGGAAATTTTTCGCCGCGGCAGAATGGCATCATCCGCGTTGGCCACTCACAGCGCGGCGGGAAGTCACGTGACAGGAGGATATACATTGCAGGAAAGCTAACGCATAGGACGGCCTGTGACGTCGGCGTTTTCACGTTCTTGAGTCAGTCGACAAGCAGAGAAAGTATGCAAGCGACTGGTTTGCGGTTTCTTTTTTCCGTCGGGTCGAGCCTCTTTGCTTCAGCTGTCGCGTCGGAACTGTTCAGGAGATTAAGGAGGAGGGGGATTGCTGTCCCCTTCCTCGGAATTTGTTTTCTCAATGAATTACGCGGCTCTTTTTTACTCTCCTCGCCTGAGTACTAACTGTAGCGAGCGCAAGAGACGCTAATCGGAAGCGGCTTGTACGAGTGCTAGTGAGAAAAACAAAAGAAGAAATGAGCGACATTAACCTGTCTTTTCCAACACAGATCGTCACAACAAGCAAGACAAAACGTATCGCGCCCAGTTCAATGAACTGCTTATCAGTGAAGAATTTAGGAACAATGGGACCAAGGAGAAACTGTGGCAAGAGGTGACTGAGGCCGTGAAAGTGATCGACAAGACCGATACGAAGCCACTGCACTACTACGGGAGCATCGGGTCCAGGAGGTTCGGGTCGGCCATATCAGTTGGAGTCTTTACGTTGGTACTTTCTACACTGTAGTTCTGTGGTCTTTACATCCGAGGAAGGCGCTGCCCGTGACGCTGCCAAAGATGATCCGAGGTTTCATCCTCCGCGACAACAAAGTTTGGAGAAAAAAAACATAAGCAAATATGACCAAGGTTTATTTAGTATTTAAAAAGCTTTTTCTTGTTTTATTAAGGTAAAATTAAAGGGGAAACTGAAAGCTAAGGCATTAAAATTGTTGTTAGAAGCCGCTGTAACCGACTGTGCGTATCTGCTTGTTGCAAGCAACATTGGCCAACGCTCATATGGCTCATGTGAAATCAAGGAGGATAGAAGGGTAGGAGAGGGCATGACGCCAGCCGCGTAGCCTCCACAAGCCATGCTCCCTTGATGCCTCGCCCCTTTCTCATTTTCCTCCTTACTCTCTTCACTTATCACGCCAACATGACCACATCACGTGACCATAGCCAGCCTTTGTCTAGCTATGGGGTACTACTGGAATCATGGAGAATAGAAGGGTAGGAGAGGGCATGACGTCGGCCGTGTAGCCTCCACAAGCCATGCTCCCTTGACGCCTCGCCTCTTTCTCATTTTCCTCCTTACTCTCCTCACTTACCATGCCAACGTGAGCACATCACGTGACCATAGCTAGACTTAGTCTTGCTGTGGGGTACTAGAATACACCACAGTCTAGACTTCGACCTGATAAAACCTACCGGACGGAGTGCGCGCAAGCCTGCAATGAGTCGTTCTACAATCAACCATCCATCTCACACGTGACATGTCACGCGCACCAATCGCCAGAGAGATCTGCGGTCACGCTGGGCACAAAATCGTTTAAACTTTTTATGACTAGGCTTCACCAATATTGCAACGTGCCCCCTCCTAGTACTTCTAACCTCCTTGCTCGCCTTCGTCTTGATATGGGGTTTTAGAATACACCACAGTCTAGACTTCGATCTGATAAAACCTACCGGACGGAGCGCGCGCTAGCCTGCGAGGAGTCCTTCTACAATCAACCATCCATCTGACACGTGACATGTCACGCGCACCAATCGCCAGAGAGATCTGCGGTCACGCTGGGCACAAAATCGTTTAAACTTTTTATGACTAGGCTTCACCAATATTGCAACGTGCCCCCTCCTAGTACTTCTAACCTCCTTGACTGGAATACACCACAGTCTAGCCTTTGATCTGATAAAACCTACCGGACGGAGCGCGCGCAAGCCTGCAAGGTGTCCTGCAATCAACCATCCATCTCACACGTGACATGTCACGCGCACCAATCGCCAGAGAGGTCTACGGTCACGTTGGCCACAACATCGTTTAAATTTTTTATGACTAAACTTCACCAATATTGCAACGTGCCCCTTCCTAGTACTTCTAACCTCCTTGTGTGAAATGAAACCTCGCGATCCGCGCCACCGCGCAGCTAGCGGCAGCGATTTCGGCCGTGGAATCGCTGCACGTGAAGCCTTTCTCGCTGTTGGTGCCGACCCCCGCACCGGCGAGTTCGACTTTGACTAGCGTGGCCGCCTGCCGTAAAGCCATTCAATGTTTTTCACAAGTAACACCAACCATTCTTTTGGAAACGCGCAACGTAAGTGCCACGTTCGAGCGGTCGCTTCGCCGCCATTCGCTTTCAAGGGCCGCTCATTTCAGTGCTGCTACCAAGTATTCTAGTACACTCTAGTGCTGCGCCACCATTTGCATCCAAAGGTCGCTCGAGACACGGGCCTCGTGCACTCGCGCATTTGCCGCTACTTGTAGGATAAACGCAAACACGCCGAGGGGCTTTATGCAGATATGAAGCCTTTTTGATAAAGGCGATTTTTAAAAGTACTGTCAACCATTGTTGTGGAAACGCGCAAGACGCGTGCCATGAGCAGGTGCTCATCCGCCATTCGCTTCCAAGGGCCTCGTGCACTGGCGCAATTGGCGCTACTTCTAGGGCAAACGCAAACATACCGAGGGGCTTTATGCGGATATAAAGCCTTTTGATAAAGGCGGTTTTTACAAGTACTGCCAACCATTGTATTGGAAACGCACAAGACGCCATTCACTTCCAAGGGCCACTCGAGACACGGGCCTCGTGCACTGGCGCATTTGACGCTACTTGTAAGACAAACACAAACACATCAAGGGGGTGCCCTATTTTCTTACGTTAAGTTACGTTACGATATATTGCGTTGAAGTCACCGGGAATTCCGTGCTGCCTACCAGTTCAAGGAGAAAGCATGACAAGCGACATTCGAGTGAAAATGGAGCAGTGTTCTTACGTTACACTGCGCTACGAACCAGTGAAGTTGCAGGTTAGTTTCGGTTTCGGCTATGCCGTATTTTTATAAATTATATCAAACCTTTTATTTTATTTACTTGCTGCTTTAAGCTCAGTTTCTTGTGCACGTTCAGAAAAATATGTTTAGTTGAAAAATTCAAATTGGCTTCTATGCCGAGAACATTAAACGATTGGAACCACCTACCTACCCTCCATCTCTGCCGTCTCTGAAGCCACCACTTCAAGAAACATTGCAACGAATTCATCTGCTACAGCCACTCCTCGCTGTAATGCCTCCGGGCATTAAGAATTGAGAGTATGAAAAATAATAATACCAGAAGGGCCAGAAGGAGCACATGCATAGACTTACGGGTGCATATGTAGAGAGGATAACTCTACCCTCTCCACCTCTGCTACTTTCTCCTACTCCTCCTATGGGGCATCGTGCAACCCGTGCAACCCTCTCCCATTTACTTGTGCTGCTAAAGCCCCCCCCCCCCCCTCCCTCCCTCAGGGCCCCCTCAGGGAAAGCGATGTCACGCCAAACAGGCACGGGAAATTTGCATTAGCTGTCCTTAGCTTACAATTCTGTACAACAAGCGCGAGAAGCTTGGAGAAGCCATTCGGGGATGGTAGAAAACACGGAGGCAGAAAAAGAGAAGGGGAGTTCACGTTACCGGATCAAAAAAACAAATCCGTCGATTTGGGCGAACTTCGGAAAACTGTAGTCCTGGCACGAGTGAACGTCCTCACTCCGAATTTCGCGCAAGAACAGTTTCACATAGCACCCGCCGGGAGCGGCGCGGGCGCTAAAGCTATTTAGGTCACGTGATGTCGCCGAGAGCTCGCAAGCAAGATGGCGACGTCTTGACTATGTGGTGCTTCGTCAGCTGATAGGGCCCCCCTGCCAATCTGGCGCAACCAAAAAAGAAACCCATTCGAAAATTAACACCGAAACCGCATAATGTGAATCAGGACGCCCAAAATCCCAACCCGAACCCACCACCACACCCGCAACGACGAGGCAGCACCGGATGATCGTCGACGACTTCGCCCGACGGCTACAATCCGACGTGGACGCACCTTCGACCATCGTCAACATGGACAGCAAAGACTACGACCACACCAAGAACCTGACGCTCATGTTCTTTCTCGACCGCCTCATGGACAAAGGACAGCCTCGAACCTTACATGATCTGTCGTGCCAGTTTGGAACCAAGGGATTCACCAAGGAAATGCGGCAGATTGCCGGCGGCAGTCAGTCCGGTCTGCGCAAATTTCTCGGCCAGTACCCGTCCCTCTTCACCATCGACGGCGACCAAGTGTCGGTCACCAGCTTCGGCGGGGACTCGTCGGGAAACACGCCGCAGCGGGACTACGTTCAGGAGGCTATAGACTACTTCCGGACCAAACTGGAGCAGTACGGCAACGCGGAGGTGCCGATCAAGTCGCTTCTGGGACACCGATCGCAGGCTACACCCGAGATTCGGCACGTTTCCGGCCAGCACGGGAGGTAAGGTGTCTTCGTTTTCGTGCTCATTACCGACTTTTTTGTTGTTCCTGTCTACTTTCTTTCTGCCAAAGTTCGGTAGAGAAGCGGCCTCTCCGGCCCCTCCCCCGAGCTCTCTCTTCTTTCTCGCTTTTTTTTTTCTTTTTGCCATTCTTTTCTTTTTTTCCTACGAACCTAGTTCGTCTGACGACTCGAGAGCACCTCAAAACCGCGACCAACGGCCTAATCACGACTGCATGCTCGTAGCTCATTCCTTCGAAAGAAACGTGCCTGCTTCGTGATGTACGGAGGGACCCGCAGCAGCTCGCAGTGTATCCCAATTTTTTCCCCCTACTTTTTCTGTTTTTTGTTTTGTTTTCTCCACTAACACGCTCGTCTCTTCGTCGTCGAACACCCGTTCGCCTAACCTTGGCCTAGCCGTAAACGCCCTTCTGATTGGTGCAATTCCGCTGGGACGACTTCCTACGTAAACGCGCACACATGTATCTTCTTAGTTTTTCTATGCCGAACTTCCAGACTATTTTTTTTCTCCGTTGTTTCCGTGTAATCAAATGTCGCTACAAACCTCGCTCAACACCGACTTGTTTTGAGTTACAGCGTAACTAGCATAAGGTTATAAGTTTGCCCAATGCCTGGCCTCGTCGGCATGTCATGCCGCACAGCAAGCATTCCGGCCTTGGCGTTTATTATTCCTTTTCTTTTTTTTTCTGTCGCCGCCTGTCTTTTCGTTGACGGGGATACACCGTCAGTTTTGAAGGCGGCTCGCGCCTCGCTTCGGTGATTACTACCTTGGTGCGTTTTTTTCTTCCATGTTTATCTTTTGGGAGTAGGTTACTTTTTGGGCTTGGAATAGTTGGGTAGAAGCGCTGCTTCGGGGCGACACGGAGGCGTGTCACTAGTCGAAGCGTCGCTAGGCGCTCGTATCTGGTTGCGTGGAGAGGTCATTGATTCCCAACAGGCACCTTTCCTTTTTTTCTTTTTGATGGCGGCACATCGCTAGATAACGCGTTTGATGCGATTATTCGCGATACTCGCAAGTGCGACCTTAGATATCGTCCGAAGACCTGCCACGTTTGATCGTGGAATCCTCCAGGCACACTTGTGTCATTCTTGTGCCTCATACTTTAGCCTAGTCCAGGGGGTCCTTGCACATTTCAATCCCGAGGTACCATTACCTGCCTTGACATGGCCAAAAGAACCCCTCGGTGTCTCAGCATTGATCCAGTAAAGCATTTCAGGAACCTGCAGAGCTTGCAACAAGCTCCAAATACAAGGCCCTCCCCTCTTTCACTTTAGCAGACTGAATGCTGGAGAGGAGGTGAACGAACTTGCCTCCTTTCACACCTCTTCAGTGTTTGCTCTGCTGAAGTGAAAAGGCTCTGAGGGGGAGGCTATCCTGCTTCGCTTCACTTAACCTGACACAGACCGTGGGGGATGTTTAGATCACTGTTATGCATTGACGGAAGCCTTACATCTATTAAAATAGCGCTTGAACTGGGAAGACATTTCACTAAGGGGCTGGGACGGTTGAGAAAGTTTACCAGCTCAGGGAACCCACCAGGGTTCTTCGTGTTCCCAGGAACCCAGTTTCAGAACTGGCTTAGTCATTGGATGCTGAGTTTAAACTGAAGAGTAAAGAACTCAACATTATCACCACCTATGATCTTTCGTCTTCTCAGCACAGGGGTGTGGCTTGGGGGGTTAACTCCTCCCCCCCAACCCCAAAATCACTTTATTTTTGACAAATATTGAATGATTAGTGTGTGTGTGGGGGGGGGGGGGGGGAGGGAGTGTTGGGGTTGGCTGTGTCCATATCTGTGAATTGTACAGCACATAGACTACTACAGTGCAATCCACTAATAAAGAAAACTCAAAATTTCAATCATTATAACTGATCTTCATTGTATCTAGACTAGAATCTGATCGTTTCTAGGCTAGAAATTCTAGACACTGATAGTTATAAGTAATACATCGTTATATGTGGTATCGTTGTAAGTAGATCAAACTGTACATGCAAAAATAAAAGCAAGCCCCCCCCCCCCCCCCAAGTAAGAAAATATCTCCTTGCTACACCATTGCTTCTCAATAACAGTTCAATGGGGCTGGAATTAATTAGCACCGAGCCACCATTTACCAGTACCAGACCATAGAATAGACCTTTTGCAAAATCTGCCGCACTCTCCGATGCAGCAAAAAGATTGCTGGGAGCATCCTGTATTGAGCCGGCTGTAGCAGACCACAGGTGACGGAGGAAATGCACGCAGGCGGGCGAGGGCATGCGAGCAACTCTCTCCCTTTCACTCTCTCTTTCCTTCTCTTCAGTCTCATGTAGTAGATGCTGCAGAAGCAAGGAGGAGCATGCAGAACATTACCGAATACATTGCAACATCTCGTGGATAGTCGAAGAACTAGCGATTTGGTTTCCAATTCGTTTTGCGCTTTCTCTCGAGCCGGTGAGCTATCGGAGGTAAATCTGCACGGCGGTGGTACTTGTCAAACATGGCGTCCTTCTGACATTGGAGACCGCTACGAAGACAGCCTTAGTCGCACAATCTAATTGCTTCTGCTGCTTGTTCTTTGGATGACAGCAGCAGTGAGGACTGTGGATGATGTTGGATTATTTGATTTGAGCTCCTACAGCTGCGTTTCATCTTCGAGGCGCAGAATATCGACATATGCTCGTTGGAGAGCGTCGTTCCAGCTTTCTAGGCTGTCCTGAGCCGGGGCCAGTGGCGTAGGGGAGGAGCTTATAAAACTTTAGCCCCCCCCCCCCTCAAAAAAAAGAAGAAATCCCTAGCCATTGGTTGGGGCACACATTTCATGTGTGCTGCAAGCCATAAAAACAGTAGAGGAGATGTTAGAGCAGTGCTATAACAAATCAAAATTTTGTGTCCAAAAGAAAAAAAAAAAAAGTGTTCTGGATGACATGTTCCCCCACGTGCAACAGTGCCTCTTAATGGCATGACTTTACGGAAGCACACTTGTCGATGAACCAAAAAAAGACAGTATCAGCTAGAGCACTCTAATTTACAGAAGTGGTAGTGGTGTGTATGGGGCACACCTTCTATATTTACGATTAAAAAAGAAAAATCATGCTATTTTTTAATATAGCCGAGTATGTTTAGACTGTTTTCATTCTTGCACAAATTCCAAGTTCAGCGTTTAAACTTTTTGCAGACATTAATGCGAACCTTTTTTTTTCTAAAGGACAGATTATTGGTTACATTTGTATGTATCATAATTAGTCATTGCTGTGTAGCTCTTAAAATAAAAAAAGAAAACATTCCGTTCATCCCTCAAAAATCGCCACTTTTCTTCATGTTACGGAAAGGGCAAAAGGCCCTCGGCGGCATCACATAAGTGAGGAAAAGGGGGAGGGAGATACATGGTGGGGGTTATACAGTCAAGACACAACACTGTTCAGGTGAGTAAAGGTACATAGAGTAAATCTCAACGTAATAACACCCAGTAGAAAAAGAAAGTAATGAGAAAAACATTTGAGAGTGAGACATGTGTTATTGAGATTGTGCTTTGCGATTTAAAGTGATACTACAACGAAATTTTGACATTTATTTGTTGGTCATTTCCTGTTCAAGGGAGCATTATCACATCGGAAACACCAATCCCTTGTTGCAAAATGACACAAAGGAATTTTAAAACAAATTAAACGATTAGCAAAGAGCACCTGGTGGATGTCGCTAATTCATTTTTAATGTCCGTCTAGGAACCTTGACAGGTAGTGATGATAACTGTCTCTCCTCCGGCCACGATGAGAGAAGGGCTGAAGGAGGAGCTCTCTTCTCCCTGAGACTCTATTTTGTGTGTCCCAGAAGTCGCTGTTGTCCCTCTACAAGATAATAGAAGATTAACCCGTCATTTAAAATTCTTACAAAGGCTGCTTTGGGGTTACTTGCGGTGGCCCAATCGCTGGTGTGCTTCGGCTGCTTTCAGTGGATCCTCCGAGCCATCGGGGCCTATCCAAGGCTGTCATGTGACCTTAGAGAGGTGGCAGAGTGACGCGCAGAAAGTGTATCACGGGCTACGTTCACAGAGTGGGATTGGCTGGTATAGCTCGCAGCGTCCACTGCGTCCGACGTAGGGTCCCGAGACAAACTTCGTCACGGTTGCTGCGGACGTGGCGTGCTCTCCACTGGCTGCTCTTCGAGCAGTTGCCAGAGTCGGCCGTTTATAGCGAACAATACAGTCATCAGGCTCAAAATGCAAATGTGCGATTGTCATTTACGGATATTGTGGATCATATTCAGCCTATTTCTGAACAGGATGAGTATATTTCAAATTTCGTTGAAGTATCCTTTTAAAAGATACGGGCCGCTAGTCCCGTGCGAAAAGCACTGGGGCTCTCAATTGATTTAACGGAATGGGGCAGGTCGTTGTAATCAACGATCGTCTGGGGAAAAAAGGAGCGATTAAATGCATCTGTAGTACTTGATGAACGGGCGATTGTTTGGGAATTGCTGTGTCGGGCAGATGACCTGAAGGGGGATTGTAGTAGAGTGTTGTGGAGTGTAGAATGATTGTAGTACATTTTGTGGAAAACTGAGAGGTGAGCAACCTTGAGTTGCTGAAAAGAATGCACAAACATTCCTTCCAACAATGAAGCTAGATTCTTTTGGTTCTATTGAGCTATGGTGACCTAGATGGAGCTCCTGAAGCATCACTTTTGTGCTCTTTGTTACTCACCTTTCGTCCCCAAGTTTGTACAAAAAGGCTTTTTTCATGCCTTTTCTTATGGTGCCCCTTGTTTCCTTGAGGTTCCCTACCAAGAAATCTTCAAGCCAAGTACAGGAGGCACTAGTTCTTCCGAAAGTGGTGGATTGCACAGCACAAACTGACACATCCTGGCGTCTATGTCCTGAAACGGATCGAGGGGTATCGAAACGCCTGCAGACACGTAAACCATGATGCTGTATATTCAGACTGACATTGCTCTGCACCCCAGGACACCTCATTGCAATGCGTCGAAACACCGTTTGGAGCAGAGAGCTTGCACCAGAGGTGGTAAAACTAAAACAATTCTCCATTATTCCAGGGCTAACAGCGGCTATGCCTCACATGCTTTTCTAATTGTACACAATGTATTTACTACAGAATGATAATGCGCCTTGTTCATTGCTGTCATAATGCCCTCTGGGCAATGCAAAACGATGCAAACAAATAAGATGTGAAAAGAAATTTTTCTCTCATACAGTATTGAGCATGCACTGACATTGCAAGAAGCACCGACCCCTACTTTTAAGGCACTTAAAGTATAATCAGAGGGTTTATCAAGCGCCTGCCTCAGTAAACTTCTAAGCCCTCCAAGCTAACCCAAGTATTCTTCCTCGTCGGCCGCTTCTTTAAGAAACTGGTGCAAGGTGGTGAAGCTTTATGCGCATGCACCAGTGCGAAGCGGTGAAGCTTGACGGGAGAGCGCTGGCACAAAGCGGTGAAGCTTGATGCGAGAGCGCCTGCACGAGGCAGGCTTGAGGAGAGTGGCTTGTCTCCTTTATAAATGAGGGGTTTTGGCAGACTTCTTTATTGCTATACACCGGTGTCTCGTTAACATGTACACATCCATCCCCCCAAAAAACCGTCCTTGATGTGAGTTATCCATAATGAGAGATAAAAGCATGTTTCTACCCAGTTTGTCCCAGAATCCTTTGTCTATGTAGCAGGGTATATACGCTAACGTGGTCTGTATTGATTGAACATGACTGTAGTGTTCCGTCTGATCAAACAAGGGCACAGCCTATCGTGTGCCCCTTCTGCTCTACTGCTCTCAGAGGTAACAAGCGCCCGTCCCTATTTTTGCATGATTATCTCGCAGCAATTCGATGGGCGCTCAGCGTTTTGCTGCCGTGCCTTTTGTTGTGGCAGGGCCACCCTTGGTTACTCGACAAAATTTTGAGCGGTCGTGCACGAAGCACTTCTCTAACATTCAAAATACACTTGCGTTCTGTCTGTGGTACCCAGAAAGCGCTGTAGATTACGCCCCGAGTAGCCTCATTGTCTTTACCCGCTCTTCACGTGTTTACATGTTAGCGGACGAAGGCGTTCGTGGAAATCTCCAGCACCTCATTGTCGTCGCCCGAGCTTGGGGCAAAGAACACGGGAGGAGGACGGAGGGAAGTCTGTTGTCAATCAGATCGTCTCTATCGCGGCTTTCTGTCCGCAGCGCAGTTATCACGACGCACGACGGCTCTTGAACGGCAGGCACTTGGCAAGTGGGTCGCAGCTCGGATTGGGAATGTCACCAAAGGGGTGCTTCTTTTCTGGGGCGCTTTCTTTCGTTTCAATGGGCATGCATACGTTTGCGGGCATTGTGTTCTTACCAGCACGGCAAGGCCGTCGGTATGGAGATGTTTTTGTTTGGAATCGCCCGTTGCTGTGCCCCAACACTCCACAGCTGGCTTTAGTTTCCCCGGGTGTTTCTTAAAGTTGCCCTGCAAGGACTTCTTTACTGGTTTTTAATTTGCACCGCACCTGAGTGCACTGGACGTAGTAACTTAATGGAACTTTGCTTTTCTCGAATTTTGCTTTATTTTAAAAGCTATAGGCAAATTATAATTACAAAAACAAGCAAAAAATAAACTCCTTTTTCACGTCCTTGGTCACTTGAGTGGCCGTGAACTAGAGGAGGGGTAGTGAGCTCAGCGAGCGCTCACGGCTGCCACACTCCGTGTCGATGGCTCGAAAGGGCGCCACTAAAGCATGTTCTGGATGGGCTGTACGAAGCGGGCAGCCAGGGCGGCTCGAATTGCAACACGGTGTAAAGATCAGTCCAGAACGCAAGCCACTTCGTGCTGCCATACCGCCAAACGGCCAAACCTCAAGCCAAACCTGCTCGCCGAAGGCCTTCTTAACCGGTCGGATCCTCGAGCCCGTATACGACCGCAGCGCCACGCATATATCAAGGACCTTTCTACGCTCGCCGCTCGTCGGTGCCTGATCCCACTACCCCTTTCTAGTATGCGCCGTCTTTTCTACTGCTTGGTGGCGGGTATGTCGATGAGTCATTTCTTGTTTCCATACTTTATAAACTGCATTTGTTTCTTTTCTGATCTTAAATATTGAACAAAAACTACTTTCATACATAATTGAAACGGTTTGTGCCACTTATATTTTTTATTTTGACTAAAAAGAAGCTTTTAGTGGCTCTGACCAGTAGTAAGGCCAGGACCAAAGACTTCACATATCGCGCGCTTTTGGCACCGCAGGTCGCTCCCATAGGTGGAGGAGGTTTCCGCGTCATCCGGTTAAAATATGACGCACTGATATATAGTTACTCTCTCCGTGCCCGCTGGCTTGCCCGAGCCCCAAGAGATGTGGAAACCGCAAAAATAGTAAACGCTTAAATATGATTGCAGGGCCCCTTTAAAAAATAAGTAATCTTTTTTTTTTTTTTCAGCGGAGTTGTTAAGGGCTAGGTTCCCCAGGATCGTGTCCTTGTATGTCGACACAAACCTACCTGGACAGCTACCGCCATCTATAAGCGACGGCGGCAAAAAGACAACCAGTATGGTTTCCGCCGTGGCTCATAGATGGCGGCAACCTTTCCAGCTATAATAGAAAAATGGATAGTTGGGCGCGTTGTTGGGAATTCATCGTAGGAAACAGCGCGAAAAACAGACGACGAAGAAGAAGCACTCAGTGTATGGAGTACAGCTCCGCTGGTCATCCTTCTTCACAACAGTAAAAAGGCTGAACATTTTTCTTTTTTTTTTTGTGATATTTTGAGAGATGGCCCAGCCCCCAAAAAGTCAGATCGGGCAGAAAACGAGGCTAAGCTAACTCTCAATGTGCAATTTAAAAGAAAAAAAAAAGATTTTTGAGAAGGTTAGCGATCTCTATATTCAAACTGCATGGGATGCAGTTTTTAGGAGGCTGTCATTTAAATTTTTCTGAGGACATCATAGTCTTTTAGGAGGGTGAAAAACAACATGTTATTCATTTAATGCCATCACTCTCTTCTACAACATCACTATGCATACAAGGGGTGTTGGCATGTGATAACCGTCGAAGGAGATGTAGGGCATACCGCTTAGCCGCCACAGGATAAGAACGTCAGGCTGCTGACTGAAGGCTTCTGGGTTTTGTGTTCATTGTCTTGCATATGTCGCCATGGTGACCAAACCACTTGTGCTGCCATGCCCTGCCATGGAGTGTATACAGACAGACAAATTTCTGGGAGTATTTGCTTCCATTATTAGGCATTCCATGTTTCAAAATGGCTAACTTTGTTCCACATCTACCCGTGCCCATATCAGCTGCCCTGTACTCTCTGCCGTGCCTATCATATTAGATGAATGGCAAAGGGAGCACTCTTTTTGTGCATTTGACTTCTAAGTTGCCCACGAAGGGGTCGTTACCATTTTCAAAACTCCTATTGGCTACCCTGTAGTGCAGATCGCCTTTATCCAAAGTATGCAACTTTAGGAATTTTTTTCTTTTGTTTTAAGTTGTTTCCTGTTTAACTTTGATGCAATTTAGTGCAATCTTTGAGGATGGGCCATCTCTTAAGATATTATGGTATACTAACTACTGTAAATAATTGGATTTGTGTTAGGACCTCATTTTCGCGAATCTGACTGATCGCCTATGATTCACGAAAGATAGGTCCTGCGAGTATGTTTGTTTTCTAATGGTAGCAAATACATAGCATACCACCCTCATTCGCGAAATATTGAGCCCGCAAAAATAAAATTATTTGCAGTATATCCTCTCTTTTGGTTATAACTATGGTGCTGAAATAGGAGCGGTGAGTTCACGCATGTCTTTTTCAGTGTGCCCATACATGCTTCAGATATTTAAAAAAAAGGATGAACAGATTTGCTTCATGGTACAAATCTATTTGACAAAGCCCATGAATACATGGATCGAAAAGGCATCAGCTACCGAAAAACTGGCCCCATTTTCCCATTGAAATTTTCAGAAAATCACTCGTAACTTTTGAATAAGATAACGGTTAGTTCCAAAAATTTGGCATCTGTCCCGGACAGCTATCACTACTGGGCGGAGACTGAGCATTCGCCGAGGTGCACTTTATTTCTGCAATGAACAAAACGTGCACCCTTTTTCGTCAATACACCTTCTAAAAAAAAATTTTTAAATAATGTTTACAAGTAATTGGCAATTTAACGCATTGTAGCAAAACAAACGTGTCTAACCTGCCGTCGGCTTTTTTCCTGCTATTCTGCCACTCCAACGAGGAACGACAAGTGCTGACATGGACATTAATGCCAATGAACTCGTGGTCTTTTCGCTCTTCGAAAGTACTTGGTGCCTGGGACACAACCAACAAATTAATAAAGGCCACGAAGGCCTTGGCTGTGTTCCTCACAAATACGGAATTGTCGGCCGCTTTGTAAATGCCTAAAGATACTTCTGCAAGACTTTGAACGGTCTTCCCATTACCATATTCACCCTCATTCACAATTTCACCCCATTTTTATTTCTCATCACTATATCTTTCCTTACCCCTTCCCCTCTCCCCAGTACAGAGTAGCCAGCCAGAACCTACATTTAGGTTTATTCTCTCTGTCTTTTCTTAATGAACCTCTCTCTGTCACTCAATTTTAATGCGAAAGCATTAACCGTCTCATGGAGCGAGCTGATGTCATCAGTTTGAAGCGCGAAAATGGCACCTAGTTTTCGCGATCCCAAAGGAGCGAAGTAAAGCTGATAAATTTCGCCTTCGGTTCCATTGGCTGGCGCGCGTCGACGGGACTCCCATTGGCCGCTGCCCTCATCAGTTTCCACAACCGCTCACCCCAAGGTCAGCACGCCCAGGGGAGCACATGCGCTGATCGGCGACAAAAAGTATGCAGCAGACGAAAAAGGGAGCGGACGAGCGGCTTGCATGCTTTTGCATTCACAACTCATAAGAAATGCTTAGGTGTACCTCAATCTTTTTCCTTCTTTCTCTCAAAACCCCCAACCTTAGCGTTTACGACCCCCTGCATTCCCTCTCGCGTCCTTACCACCCTGCCCGGCACACAGGGAGTTCCGGGACTTCCTGGCGAAGCACTCGGACGTCTTCGTGGTCAAGGAGGAGTATGTGGTGCTCCGGAGCGTGCTCCAGAGCGCCGCCCTGGGGGACGGGCAGGTGGTGGTCAAGATGGCCGAAGAGGCGCCCCTGGACTCGAACCTCCGGGACCAGCTGACAAGCATCTTCGAGGGATACCTGCGGTCGCGGGGAGGCTCGGCAACCCTGGACGCCCTGTTCGCCCACTTGACGTCGCGCTTTAGCCGCGACACATACTCGCGCATGGTGCAGAGCTCTCAGGACCTGTCGGCGTTCCTGCGGATGAACACTCATCGGTTTCAGGTGGGTGCCGCTTGGCTTCCTCGTGGATTGTCTGGAACTCACATGGAGCCACTGCTTAACTAAACCAACCTCTAACAGGCTACTGAAACAAAATTTTAGCGCCTGTTTTAGTTGGTCAACTATGTCATGGCAACACCACAGAAACACCAATTTTCGTCTTTGAAATGACACAAAAACTTTTTGTAAAGTGAATAAAGCAATTACCAAATTTCACCCGATGCATGTTCCCAAAGGTACGTGGAATGTCGTTACATCAATCATACCCAAAGAGCAGCGCCGCTCCGCGGAAGTATGGCGCCGAGCTCCAAGCGCACGGAGGCTGTCATACTTGGCCGAACGGATTTCTCTTCTTTCCCACACCTTTTCAACTCCGGCGGCTGGGGAATAAAAAGGAAGACGGGGAGAGGGAGTGATACTGAGATGAGGAAAAGGTCAGTGTAGTTTTGAGCCGCATGTGACTCACTTCGCCTCCCCTCATGTATACACGTGCACCCAAATCGGCCATCGGACATTTCCAACGGCTAGGTGGTATTGTGTCAATGCCACCAAGTGGCAAACCTCCTAACCACGCGAACCCCGCCGTAGTCTTGCCCGTGAAGGAACAAGTGACGTGCCGAGTGCGCTGAAGGCGTTGGATCTCCCGGGACGCATCGCGCTCTCTGCTGGCTGCTCTTCGAGCGCTTTCCAGAATCGGCCGTTTAGAATGAAAAACTAAGCCTGCCATTACAAGCGTGCAGTTGTCTTTAGCCGATATTGTTGGTTGTGTCTAACTTATTTCTGAACGTGAGAGGTATATTTGAAGTTTCATTTCTGTATTCTTTTCGATGGATGCTATCAAGCTGGTGTCAAAATGAAACCTTTGCGAAGGCAACTGGTCGGCAACTTTGACACTCGCGTCATATCAAGTGCAAGTTCCCGAAGCCGTCCTTTGTCCGTTGTTGCGCAGATCCAAGCCAACGTGGTGACGCTGCTGGAGCGTCCAATCCCGGAGCCTCCTGCCCCCACGCTCTCGCCGTCCCGAGCACCAGGCAGCATCCAGCAGCGGCTCAAGTCGCACATCCTCAAGGCAGTGGCAGACAACTCGGCCATGGACCACCAGCGGGTGGCGGGGGCCTCTTCGGCCAGGGAGCAAGACCAGGCGCTGGCCGAGATGCTCAGGGGCGTCAAGGTTGTCTCCAAGGTGGGTGGTGACCTTAGAATAGTAGCAGACCTTCTGCATAAAGTAGCTGTATACGCTCCGTTTGCGACGTTGTTCGTGATTATAGATGGAGTGAATCACACAAGACTCCTGGATGCGTTCGGAAAGCATTTGCTACTCAATGAAAACAGAAGAAAGGGAAGAGTACACATGCAGAGCTATATGTACACATCAGTGTAGGAAAGAATGGGCATTTGAGCATTATTGGACTCTGGAGTACACTGAAGCTTACTGGTGCTCGGGGGTTTAAGGTTGAGTGTCCTTTTGACGATTGGCGTCATGACTTCGTGATAGATGATGAAATGCGGAAGAGATGGCGATGTGTGGTAGATGGAATGCGCGTGAGATGGCGGGATAGTGCCGTAGATAAGCTGGTCAATCAGTTGGTGAGATGGTTGGCGATAAGGTGGCTGGGCCGCAGCGGCGACAGTTGTTGCCGGTTGCCTTCCTTGGAATCAAGTCGGTCTAGGACGGTTTGGCACCTTGATCGCTTTGGAGGCAGCATAACCTCTCGGTGTGCACCCCCAACATAGGTCGTCCTTGCAGCTCGAGGCTTCTTTACTGGTTTTCTCGAATCCTTCGTCGTGCCACCATGCTCACGTGCACTTCGCCCTTGGCTTTCTCTCTTCTTCAGTCATCTGGGAAGGACCATATCAAAAGTATTGCGATGGTCTCAAACATTTTACTTCAGGTACTGCGGGAGAAGCGATCATCGCTCTTGCAAGGTTGTTGTATGCAAGAGCAATGTCTGACCGTGCAAACATTGCTCTAAGCGCATGCGCCGTTGTGTCTCCAGAATTCGTCGAAATCATGTGCGCGCTGTGTCGTTGGTTGTTGTGTCATCTGCAGAGAACGCAATTATGCGTGTCTAGGTGGCACACACAATGTCTGAAGGTTCACGGATCTTCCCGCTTGTCAGACTTCAGTGAAAGATCTACATTTTGCAAATGTAGAGCGAAAAATATGTCCAATCCCAAACCCGGTGCTTTGCAAGGCCGCTTCCCCGCAAGCGCTGTAGTCAACTGCGGTGCATGTGACCCCTTCTCCGCCAATGAGGAGTTGGCGGCGAAAGGAGAAGGAAGGTGATACTCTGGCTCCGCAGTTTAGTTACTCTACTTTTGCGAACCTTTCAGCACTCCTTGGCATCGAAAGAAATTTCGGGAACTGACTCCAACTGCAGCAGACAAAAAAAGTTCTGGGAACTGTCCGTCAAAAATCAACTGTAGTGGATAGAAGGAATTCTGGTAACTGGCTGCATTGAACAACCTTTAGCAGACGAAAGGAATTCCTGGAGTTGGCCGTATAGAACTAGCTGTCGCAGAAGACGGAGGCAATGCTGAGCTGCCATGTCTCCCTCTCGCATCGTTTACTCTAAAGGCCCGTTCATACTCTTGCGACCTCATAGAACTGGGTGCCTTTAAACCTCTTACGAGAGGACACACTGGCGCCATCTATTGGGTAGCAGCGTAAACTTGGTGATCCGGCATATTTTCTATTTCTCTCGCGCACTATCCTTTTTTTCTTGGCGCTCGAAAAACTTTTGTCAATGTTATAAACGAGCCTTACTTATAGACATTACGCACATTTGACCTCGGAAATCCCTCAAAACCTTCGCTGTTGTAAAATGCAGTTTCGGGGTCTCTGCATAGATGGCACCAGAATGCCAGTGTGTTCCCTCGTCCTAAAAAATTTTAAGAGGTTTCAACAAGTCTCATCTCTCTCGGTCATCCTCGGTTGTAAGAGTGTGAAGGGGCCTTAACGTGCTACTAGATGCTCATGATTCCGGTGCTCACGATTCCGGTGACACATTCCATCAGAGATCGACATGTTTGATGGTATGTGCAGAAAACATCTTCGAAGCACCGAGCTTGCATCAATAGCATAAATCTTGTCTGTCTCCAAACGAAGTTATATCACTGCGACGATAGACGGAATCTGACTCGGCGCAGAGAGGGCTTCTGTCGCCAGCATGCAATACCACAAAGTTGATCTCGCCGCAGCGAGCTACTTCATGGTATTGCAGGTTGTGAGCAGGAAATCTCCGCAGCGAGAAGAGGAAACACTGCAATAAATCAGCACTAAAGGCCTCATCACACATACACCACAGCATATGCAATGTAGCACGAACCCAGCACGAACTCGGCACAGATCAGCACTGATGCAGTGCTGACTGCATTATCTCAGCCGCGAGACGCATGTGTGAACCAGGCTTTAATTCGGTGTGAATTTCAGCAACGCTTCAGCACTGCGCTGCTTGCGCAAACTGACCTGAAAGGCCGACAAGCAGCCAGAAAGGAGGAAACTTCCTCAATTCTTCCTTTCCGTTCGAGAGAGGGGGAGACCCTCCTCCCTCCTGTGTGTAGTGGCTCGTACACCAGCTCCTCTGGGGAGAGGAGGAGAGATCAGTGCGAGAGAGAATGGAGAAAAGGAAACTTGGAACCGGTTCTCTGACCGGCAGACGGCGATTCTGCGGATCGACCTTTAACGCAGACGTCCCGGCCCTCTGCAGGTGAAGGAGTGTGAGGGGGTGGTGTCGAGGCTGTCCCAGTGCCCCGTCTTGGCCCTGGACGCTGAGGGAGTCAACCTAGGGCCCAGGGGGCCCCTGACCCTCCTGCAGCTCGCCACGGCAGCGGGGGAGGTGTTCCTCTTCGACGTGCAGTCCACGCCCCAGCTCTTCGACGAGGGAAAGCTCAAGGAAATCCTGGAATCCCAGACCATCGTCAAGGTGGGCTTCCCCACCGTGCTCGCTGCCTTTTTATACAAGGTGCTTTGACTTTGGAGTGCTTCCAACTGACCCGATCAAAGTCGCGTGGTTTACTGGCAGCACCTGCGATACGAGCTGCGAGGAGGAAGTGAATCTGTTGGTCGTTTGGAAGCGCCTCCATGGTTTGTCTATCCTCCCCGCCTGCTGTCTTCCTTCCAGGCATCAACGCACGCATGCATGTGAACACGTAATCCATGCAGGAGGTGTCTGCCATTAAATTTCAAAGGCACTCTGGTTTTAATTGCTCCCTCTTTTAAACCTTTGCTCTCTATTTTATATATGGCGAGAAAGTGAGGGAAAGGAGGAGGGGAGAGTGCGTGGGGACATCAGAACGCCGAACTCTGACTGGAATGATTAGTGTGTAGACTCAAAACTAGCTTCCTTGTTTTAGGGGCAAAGCTCCTTAGGGTCTAGCCTTGTCCGTCCGGCGTTTGTGCTCACATCGATTGCCATCCCATCTGTCTTCTTAAAAAAAGAAAAAATGTTTGCGCAGTCGACAGGATTCGAACCTGTGCGGGGAGACCCCAATGGATTTCTAGTCCATTGCCTTAACCACTCGGCCATGACTGCGGGACGAGTTGGGGGCTCTGAGATGTTGGTAGTAACTCAAGAGCTGGGGATGTCATGGATGAAACGTTGCATGTAGCCGCTCAACATGTATACAGGAGAGGGCGCTGTGGTGAAATGCGTAAGTAATCGTAATAAACTTTGCATGCATTGGCTCAACATTTATAGACGAGATGGCGCTGCGGTCAAATGCTCAAATGCGTCTATAACCACGTTCCATACCACACATTCTTTTTCTGACATGGAAAAAAAATCGGCACCATCAGCACTACCTATGAACAAAATCAATATCATCAGCACCACCAGAGCTTCGCCCCAATCAACATCATTCACCACGTGGAGATGCAGTCTTTTTTTTTTGTGCTGTGAGCTGTTGTTACAGAAAACTTTGGTCGACATTTCCTGTATACAGTTAAGTCTCGTTAATGTAAATGCCCCGCAACTTCATAGACAACCTTTCTGTGGAGAAACTGGAAAATTTTAAAATTTTTTTTCTCATTATTTCGGACGACTTGCGTTATGGAAACTTTTTGGTGGCAACGGAACTCTTTGTACGAACGAAGCACGACCGTTCATTGGACATTGGAGTGCGCCGTGTGGATCCGGATGGTGGTTCAGAAGTGCCCTGCTTCTTCGCGCATAGCCTACTCGTTTTCCAAATAAGGCCAGTTCGAGGTCGCACGCAGTGCAACGTGACGGCCTGCCTAAAAGAGGTTCGAAGAGCCGCCTCACAACTAAACGAGATCTCGAAGGGGGCAGGACAGGGTCACATCTGTCATCGCGTGCAACGTGACGCTCCAACGTCCTTTTCTGTCGCCAGGTGGTGCACGACTGCAGGAACGACAGTGCGGCCCTATTCTACCAGTTTGGCATCCGGCTCCAAAACGTCTTCGACACCCAGGTGAGGAGAGACAACCGTCGACGTTCTGTCCTTTTCCGCAGGAGGAGGAAACCAAATTTGTAACTGGGTTGGCCCTTGGTTTAAGTTGGAGGCCTGGTCTGTCTGCCGTAGGGGGAAAGTCTCCTCTGCTAGAGTTAGAGTGACTGACAGAGTCGGCATCGTTTCGTTGCCGGATTGGTTCCAACTTATTTGTTTAGTACTTATTTGTTGTTTACTTTACCGAGACAGCAAGGAGTTCTTGAGGTTATTAGTGCACACGGAGTAAAGTATGTTTAGCCGAGAACTCTGAAGTTTTCAGCCTTTACTATTAACAAGAGGTAAATGCGTGTGAAGTCCAAAATCCTAACAATATGCTTCCGATTTGTCCAAATTGGTGGCAGTTTTAAATCGTCTGGCTTTAGAGCGATGAGAATGAAGTACGTTGTACTTAAAGTAGGGTTTGAAAACGTGTACTTTACTTGAAGTACACTCTGAGTATGTACTTGAACCTTACTTAAAGTATTTTTTGTGGTATTTTCCCAGGAAAGTACAACTCCCGAATTCGAAATGCATTCTCTAAATTTGGTGTCAATAATGTTTGTATCACAAAATGATGTTTTGTCAACTGTGAAAAAATACTGATGGGGTTATCATACTCTCACCAGAAACACGAGCAGACGACGCATCCCTCCATTTGTACTGGGGGCAGCTTCCCCACAGCGTTGCAAACTCTCACATTCTCACTCAGTCGGCGTGAGCGAGGAGGTTAATAATATTAGAAGATGACACTCCTCCACGAGAGGATTGCTTGCAGAAGCCACGGGGCTGACGGCATGCTTTCTCTTAGTACGTTTAACCCCCTTGGGTGCAAGCCAGTGCAAGTGGAGATAAATTCAGAAGCCGAAGAGACAGTAATGTTTGGAGGTGGGCTAGTCGGTGGTGCATTGTAAACATATAGATAAAACAGCACAAGCGAATACAAGGAGAAGTAGAGGGAGGGACACAGACACAGCGCTGACTCGCGACTTACTCTCTTTTTCATCTTCCTAAATCACATCAACATAAAAAGACAAAGAAATAAAAAGAAGAATCCAGCATGTAGGACATCTTCACTGTCATGTGCCATCCATTATGTTGATGTGATTTAAGAATACGAAAAAGAGAGTTAAGTAGTGAGTCAGTGCTGTGTCTGTGTCTCTTCTTCTGCCTGTTCTTGTGTTCCTTTGCACTGTTTTATCTATATGCCGAAGAGGCTTCCAAATTTGGCACCCTTTCTGAAAATAATTACTCCATGACCAGTTGACTTTATGTCATATTTGCCGCCATTTACGAAAATAACTGACGCATCCCCGATTACCCCTGAGGCAATCCATACCAGTTTTAAAAAACGCTGTATAAGAGAATAAAGGGGCACCCAAAGATAGTGTTAAAATGTACATGTACTTTACTTTGAAAGTACATTGTGTTTATGCATAGTATTTTACTTCAGGTACAATGCACCTGGTGTATTTAATAATTTAATTGAAGTACATGATTTCTCATTTACTTTGTACCTTGCTTCAAGTACTTTTTGGATGTAGTTTACCCAAAATTGGAATCTATTCTATAATTGGTCACAAGTACCCTGTAAATGCTCCTACTCAAAAGTGAGTTTTCTGCCAATGATAACTCTTCGTCGTGCACAGGCAGCCAAAGCCCACCGAAAGGCGGTGAGCGTCTGCTGAAGGTGGAGCTTTTGCCGGTTTCTTAACCTCTCGCCAATTATGGCGATCTAGTGGTGCTAAAGCTTCTCTAAGCTTTCTGCCAGAACTTCTCCGAGCTTTTGCCAACAGAGAGAAGTGATCCAAGTTGTTGAAAAATTATTAAAAATATGCTAAATAATTGAAATGCTGCATACGAGGTCGGGTTTTAAATGTGGAGGCTTTCCGACCTCCACTATCTTTCTCCTGGCCGTGGCCCCTTCCCCGTACTATCAACATTTCTCTTTCAGTGTTGTCTTTGTCCGTTTCAAAACATGTTCCATTCCTTGTCATACAACACTTTGTGCAATACGCTCATTGGATAGTAATCAAGGCCACGGTGTGGTGGGTGGGAACACCAAGTGCGTCACCGTGGCCAGATAAAGACCTCTCCTCGCCTTGGTTGCAGGCAGCACCCCCAGATGACTCCTCGAGAAGCAACTAGGGGTAGCCTGTCGGAGGCGCAGTTGCCTGTGCTTTTCCATGGGAGACATGCTAGTTTTTAAAGTTGTTTTGTGGCTGGGTCGCATCACGTAGAATTTGACACTGGCACTACGCGTGTTGCTTATACACAGCTTTGTCATTGACCCTAGTTTCGTGCTCTTAATTGGCAGCAAGAACAGTTTTATTAATACATTCAAGTGGAGAGTTCTCTAGCGTCATGTTCAAGCCAGCATCCGTCGAGGTCGGAGCAGGCGTGCCAGGTGGAAAGCACACGCTAATGTGCCATTACAACAAGTCACTTTTTTTCTTATTTCTTTTTTAACAATTGCATCGTTCGATTGGCTAAGATGCTGTAAGCATAGGCTATTTGGGTGCGCGACGATAGGGCTTTATCTGGTCGATCGCGTTGCAGCATTCACAGTGCTGTGTGTCCTTGCCTAAATGGTGTCTTATGCCGCGATCAAGACCGACCCCCCCCCCCCCCCCCCCCTTGCTCCCTCAACACACCTTTTGCTTCTCTGCAGGCAGCACATGCAACACTGCAGCAGCAGGACCAGGGCAAGCCTGTGCATAAGGTGAAGAACGTCTCTCTGGGCACACTGTGCGGCCTGTACGGGGGCCCGCCCAACCCCCGGCGGGAGCAGGTAAAAAGTCTGTACCGCCGGGATCAGAAGTTCTGGAGCCGGCGGCCCTTGAGCGAGGACATGGTGTTCCACGCCGCCTTCGACGTCTTCTGCCTCCTGCCCGCCGTGCACGACGCCCTGCGCGGGTGAGCCCTCGTCTGCTTATCGTAAAATCCCGTAAGGGCATCCACCCAAAATGAAGAGATAAATCAGGTGGTATATCTTTGGAGATGAGACAGCAAGAACTTTATCAAAAATTAATGATAAACACAAGGGGCACCTGCTACAAACCAGACTTGTACGTAATCGGTTACAAGTAGCGAAATTACTTGTAATCCCTTACATTTATCAGTAATTTAGTAACGGATTGATTACATATTTTCTTAGAGTAATTTTAAAGTAATTCCTTTGCATTTTTTACGTAACGGATTCCTTGTAATTCGTTACTTTTTTTTTTTCAGGACCAAACCCTTCCCCCTTCCCTTTCTAAAGAAAGTTCTTTTGTGTTTTTTAGAGGGGGGGTGGGGGGGGACTAAATTTGAGTGCAGTGACACTATCAAGCGAATTGACCAGCGCAAAGGGAGGCTTGGCACTCTTCAATTCCGCAAAGCCTTCTTTTTTTTTTTGCGACACCAGGCCCCTGAATCTATTTTTTTTTAGACCCTCACAACAATGTAAAAAAATTCGAATGAACATTTCTACAAAAAGAAAAAAAAGGGGGGGAGGGGGCAAGTTATATCCGCTTTTTTTAGTCACTTTTTTTTTGTTTTTTTGCCATTGACGGCAGGGAGAGGACACCAAGTGATTGTATGCCTCATCAAGAAGCTCGAGGCATAAGTGCACAGACAGGAATTAACAATGTCCTTGGTTATAGTGACTACAACCATTTTCATAATGTGGCAACACGAGAAAATGTCTTTCTCGGTTATAGTGACTACAACCATTTTCATAATGTGGCAACACGAGAAAATGTCTTTCTCGGTTATAGTGACTACAACCATTTTCATCATGTGACAACACGAGAAAATGTCTTTCTCGGTTATAGTGACTACAACCATTTTCATAATGTGGCAACACGAGAAAATGTCTTTCTCGGTTATAGTGACCACAACCATTTTCATAATGTGGCAACACGAGAAAATGTCTTTCTCGGTTATAGTGACTACAACCATTTTCATAATGTGGCAACACGAGAAAATGTCTTTCTCGGTTATAGTGACTACAACCATTTTCATAATGTGGCAACACGAGAAAATGTCTTTCTCGGTTATAGTGACTACAACCATTTTCATAATGTGGCAACACGAGAAAATGTCTTTCTCGGTCATAGTGACTACAACCATTTTCATAATGTGGCAACACGAGAAAATGTCTTTCTCGGTTATAGTGACTACAACCATTTTCATAATGTCGCAATTTCATAATGTGGCAACACGAGAAAATGTCTTTCTCGGTTATAGTGACTACAACCATTTTCATAATGTGGCAACACGAGAAAATGTCTTTCTCGGTTATGGTGACTACAACCATTTTCATAATGTGGCAACACGAGAAAATGTCTTTCTCGGTTATAGTGACTACAACCATTTTCATAATCTGGCAACACGAGAAAATGTCTTTCTCGGTTATAGTGACTACAACCATTTTCATAATGTGGCAACACGAGAAAATGTCTTTTTCGGTTATAGTGACTACAACCATTCTCATAATGTGACAACACAAGAAAATGCTCCGTCTACCCTAAAATTCACTAAAAGAGATCTGATAATATGTGAAGGTGTTATTGCAACAAGCATGCATGCTCATTCGCTGCGGCACACTTATCATCTTCTCCTACAAAACGGGATGTATTTTTTTCTGTTTTTTTCACCTATTTTGACCCTGTTTTAAAAGCTACTTAATTTTTTGTAGTCCAACTTCTAGGGTTGGCCCACTTTATTTGTGAATTCCAGCCAGGTTATCTGCATCTAAGTCACCCTTTTTGTGAGTCAGCTTTTTGCCAGCACTTTGAAAATGGTAATAGTCTTCCTCTCTTCTTGTTCCTATACTGACCCCAGCAGGACGCATCTTACCTCAAGCAGATATTTTTACAAATAAAACATATTGGTGGCTGATGTAGACTTGATATTCTGGCTTGAGGAGAGAGTGAAACTCATTAGTGTGGCCATAGCAGTGATTACTTTGTACTCTGCCCTTCGCTGCCCGTGGCATCAGCGGACGTCTATCTGAAGAACACCGTAGTAAACTGCAGTTGGTTCGTGCTCCGTGCGTTTTTGAATAGCACCAAGAAAGGTACACACGGCAAACGTGCATTTACATTTCCTTGTTTTAACCGCCGTCCTAATTAATTGTTGTTTTGAGTGTATTTTTTTTTATTACTTATATTTATTTACTGGAAACATTTTTTATTCACCAACGTCTCAACCGAGGCTCGACCTGTTCAGAACCAAAGGAAGAAGAATATCGAGCCAAACCTTATTTATTATTGAATTATCACCTTACTGTTGCAAATATGTTCTGCTGTTTTCTGGCAATATATGCCGGTATAGTAAGATGGACATAATTCTTATTTTAGTTTTGGCTAGATGTATGATGACTTGTACAGGTTCGCAATTTCGACAATGGAGATTTTTAGTAGATCGTCTTGATCAGTCCGATAACAATATCCGATACTCCGCCGCCGCCATTGCGCATTCATCATATCATTATCGGGGGTATCGGAGGTATCGGAACGATCTACTAAAACTCTCGAATATCAGGCAACGGCTGCAACGACGAAGCTTTGCTCTATCTTCGAGGTAAATAGTACTTCCATTACTTCGCTGAAAAATCTTAATGCAGAGCATAAAGCATTCGTGAGGCACAATATGGCACTCTTATGCCCTTCGGACTCCAGTCCGAAGGGTTTTCAGCGTAGCGGTCGACATATTGAATAAGAAATAACGCAAAATGTGTGGCGAGACTTTTGAGAGTCAGCTGTTGCTCAAAATACTGAAGGTCATTAAATGGAACAGGTTGCAACAATAAAAACTTGAATAACCCTCTTCCCTTTGTTTCTTATTTGAGGGCAGTAATGTTGAAAGTAACGCCACGAAAGTAACGGATTACTTTTTGGAGTAACGGTCACCTACTTTTATTGGAGGGTAATTGTAATTGTAATAAAGTACAATTTATCCTTGAGTAATTGTAAATGTAATTCCTTACTATTTTTCAGTAACATGTGCAAGTCTGCTACAAACCATGTGACACGGGAACTGATACCGCAGGTATTGGACATGGCGAACTAGCGTTTCAGAATGTGATAAGCACGTGGGAATTCACTACGACTCCTATGTCATGGGAAAGGATACCAGAGACTGCGGATGCAGCAAATTCGTGTTTTACGATGTGACAAACGCGCGGAAATTGGCTAAACTTGTGTCACGGGAACTGATATCGCACGCGCAGATCGCAGAGAAAATATGCGGGAACTCGCTACGAACTCGCATGTTACGGAAATCTACGTATATCACGCACGCAGATTGCGGACAAAACTCGGGGACCTGCAGCAAACCCGCTTGTCACACGTACCGGTCCTGCAGATTGAGCGGTTGATGCGATTCTCATTTAACATCATGTGATGTCCAACAGGAATCGGAGAGTGGGCGCTGTGTCGAAATTTTTTTGTTACGGATATTCAGCCAGAAAAATGGGATGGGCAATCTCTCAGGGGAGGGTGCCCTTACGGGACTTTACGGCAGTTTTTACAGCGATAGCTTTATATGTAAATCCTCCACAGACCTTGCTCGCTTGCATCAGACCATAGCAAGCAAGGCCATGGAGAGAGTGTCAGCAAGCAAGCGCAGCCATCTTGCTGACACTCTTGTGTGTTGGTGCTCCTGTAGATGAAACTCTCCATCACCTGACGCACTCTTGTGTTGTTTGCACCTTCCTATGTGGCTGACACAGTGACGGGATTGCTGCGCCAATTGCACCAAACTGTGCCAAGGGGCTAGCCTTGCTACATCCTGCTGCATTTTGCCAAAATATGGGTAATCTGCGCAAAGCCTGCACCAAAGGACCAATTTCGGTCGTCTTTCAAAACCGAAACTAAACTGAGTACCGTAATTGAGCATGCGTGTGTTATGGGGTGCAAGCGGCCACCCTGCACAAAGTAGCCTGCATCAGTGGTCCATCCGGTCTTGCATAGTTTTCCCGCCGTCTTGCGTTTCGCACTCTCATCATCTCGTGGGTCTCGTCTCGCGTCTTTTTAAAAAAGTTTCAACGATAGACGCGGGTGCGTGCGGACGCTCCGGTGCTAGCGTGCCGGGTACCAGCCATGCCGTTATACTGCGAAACGAAGCCACGTTTTTGCGCGGTAGGAGTTACTTTGTGAGCTGAAGCACTCGCTCCTAAAAGCAACGGCCGTGGGAAAACCAGATTTGTGGTCGCGCTACGTCGGGTGTTGCCGTCCCCACGTCGCTGCCAATATCGCGCTTTCTAAACTGAAACGTAAGGACCGCCGCATGTTCATCAACATTCTTGTTCCTGTTTAAATCATACGCTACTACAAAACTCCCTCTTTAACTCAAAGACTTCTGTGTCGAAGTATTCACTACCTAGGTTTCTCTCGATGGGCTTTCTTTCGATAGGGACCCTGGTACGTGAAAAATCTGCCGCAAAAGAACGTTGAAGAGAACTGAGCTAAAGCAAAGAAGGCAATGTCTGCACGCTGAACCCGCACTGCGCTTGTTTGTCTCGCGTTCAGTCTTTGCACAAAGCGCTCCAAGAACGTTTCGAACTTGGCTCGCGATGTCTTGCATTGTTATGCTCAGGTTCTTTTTTCTGTGTGTTTAGCTTGTACCTCTCCTGCCGGCCTGGCAAGCACGTGCCGCTGGTCTGTTTTTGTCGTATGCTGGACAGTTACATTTTGCATACACTTTTGGGAACCAGTTGGCAACGAAGCGGAGTGGTGTGGTTTCGGTTTCGATTGAAGAGCCGTTGTCTCCGCTCGCGCGACGAAGCACGTGCAACTGCAGGCCTGCCGAAGTTTCCCTCACGTGCATGTAAACATGGTTGCACGACAGGGGCACCAGTCGATCGCTGGCAATCCATTTTTTTACGTTTGCATTTGCTTATTTTTGACAAAAATCTGGCACGTCGGCAACCAGTAAAACGGTGGCAAGCGATTTTTCGGAATTGCTGGGCAACGCTTACATCACTGTACACTTGTGGGACGTCTCAATGTCTCTTTGGAGACATTGAAAGTGGACATTCATTACTAGCCGAAGGCAAAGCGAGGCTTGCAGCAGCCTTGCAGAAAGTTTAGAAAAGCAAAACGAAGGGTACCTGCTAGTCATTATCACGGTGTACAATACACTCTTTAGGTGAGGACACGGCGGGGCTAAACGCGCGGCGCGAGGAATCAGATAGTGTACGTTCGACGGGCATCCGAAAGGCTGCATCATTCTGCGGCCACCATGCCCGTGGCTGACAGTGTCGCCGGCGGCCAAACGGCGAAACTGTGTGAGAGCGAAAAAAATTATCTCGTTGCCATGACACCCCGGTACACCATGGTCTTTCTGCACGAGCAACAACCTCTCTGGAGCTCTGTGCGTGTGGAGCATGAGGCGGCACGAGCCATCTTTGCCGTGGCCACGGGTCGACAAGTCATCTGCCGGCGCCGCTTGAAACCATAGTGAGAGAGAGAGAAAGAGGGAGAGTGAAAAGCAAACTTTATCTGCACTGCGTGAGGAGCGCGCTGTCCTCACCTGAAGAGTATTATCTTACACCGTGTTCGTAATGCACCTTTGTCTTGTGTATACAATTTCGCATTGCACTGCAGTAGTGACGTGTTTAATGATTTGGAGGTTGCTTCCATTTATTATATCATATACCTAGTAAACCTAATGGTGTGATATTTACTACTGAGCTGGTCATTTTCAAATAAATTTTATATGTGGAGTTTGGTTTTCATTTATCTCTAGCGGGTATATATATATGTATCATTTAACTGAAGCATTGCAAAATGTGTCATGTCATTGGCATTTCAGTTACATGTGGAAAGACTCCCAGCTGGTCTAACTCAACCATAATTTGTTTATTGCGGCGAGCAAAGTGCCCTGCCTTTGTCCAGCACTTAAAACGAATATTGTTTTTTTTTATTTTTCAAAAAATATCTGCTCTAAAAAACACTTTCGCTGCTCTAAAACACTGTTTTGGCTGCTCCAAAAGCCACTTATCCTGCTCCAAAACACTCTTTTGATTGCTCCAAAGACCACTTATGCTGCTCCAAAGACCACTTATGCTGCTCCAAAACACTGTTTTGGCTGCTCCAAAAGGTGCTCGAAAACGGCTTAGGCCAATTTCATTACTGCTGACACTTTCACAATAGTTCCAACTCGTTGCTGCTGACACTCTCTCACGTGGTTTGTTTTTCCCCCATAGCTGACACTCTCACACACTCCCCCGTGTCCCACCCCTGCGATCTGACTCTCCCGCGGTTTGAGATGCAACCAATGGCACCCCTCATCCGCCTGTGGTCTCTGGTGCTAAGGAGCTCAAATTTATTATCAGTCGGATTGTATGTGGTTTAATATAACAAGTTTTACGGCAACTCCCCACGCTGAAGAAGATTTACATACGAATAAATTGGCCTTCTCCAAAATGGAGCGCAACTGGTGGCCAGCAATCTTGGAATTATCCAACGTTGTTTATGAATCACACAAGATTATGTACAAATTATTTGTTGTTTATAAAGTAATCCACGGATTATCTGAGATTATTCGCAGATTATTGGAGATGATTACGAATTTTCCAAGATTATCCGGGGGCATAGTTAAACGGAAGGCACGCGATTATTGAATTCAATGCTTCGAACTGTCTTTTTTTTTTTGCCGTCTGTCCGCAGGGCCATCAAGCCCGAGTTTGGGCCCCTGCTGCATGCGCTGTGCGAGGAGCAGGTGCTCTCACACATCTCTCCCGAAGAGGTGAAGGGGCGCAAGAAGCAGCGCAAGGTGGACCACGAGGTGGACGACCTCCGCAGGCGCCTCGACTCTACCAGCGCCCGCCAGGTGGTGCTCAGCAACCGGGAGATCCGCCTGCTCAGGTCAGCTCATTATCCTGCCTGCATGCATTCTAAAACGCAAACCGGCGTCGACAATAATGCAACTATACTTCATTTCACTGTAACTTGGCAAAGAGCAAATGAAAAATCAGTCGTTGACTGATTTTTCGGACGCCGATAATTCGGACTTGTTCGATATTTCAGACCTAAAGGAGGAACCCACCCGATAGAAATGGTGCATGTTCACGATCAATGTTTCGCACAGCTCGAAGTCCAAAAGTTTGACTTCTCTGACAAAATCGTCACGAGCGATCAGCGGGAAACACTGCCGAGAAGCGTCCATTTTGGATTCTATGTTGGCTGCACATGGATTGGCTTGGTTTGGCTGTGTTATTTGAGTACTGCTAAGTCCTACCGCTAGGTGACGCTGTATGGCTTTTTTTTCTTTAGCTGCACGTCATTGTCATTATTATTATTGTTATAATTTTGCTTTGTTCATTCACCATTGCAGTCGTGGAGTTGCGCCTCTTATCTCGATCCTGTCCCGGCGAATTGTGTTTTCGGACTACACTCGCTTGGACGTCACTGTTCTTCCACCGCTGCGATGTGTTGCTAGGAAGCGCAGATTGTGCTCCACCATAATGCTAGAAAAGAAGGCTAATAGCTCAAGCTAATATCAAAGATATCGCCGATAGGTTTAATAATTTGTTTCCTTAGTGTGTTTGTGCACAGACAGTGCTAGAGAGGACTTGTGCTTCAATGCGACAAGTAGCACTATGGGGGATAGAATACTCACTGAAGAGGGAGTCTTTTCATTACTATTAACGAAGTGTCTAGCGTTACGTCCGACGTAACCCAAGTTGTGTCCAAATCTCCGGCTTCTTTAGGTTCACGGGGGGAGAGAGGAGGGCGGGGGGGAGGGTTAGGTATATGTGTTTAAGTGCTCCGTCCGGACATAACGCTAGCCACAGCGTACTATTAAACCTAGACGTAAAGAAGTCAACAGGGCCAGACAAAATACCAAACGAGTTTTTAAAAAGATATGCAGAATTGGTTTCAAAATATCTTACCATTATTTTTCAAACATCACTAAAACAGTACCATGTACCCCCCGATTGGCGCTGTGCGAGGGTCGTACCAATTCTTAAAAAAGGAAGTAAGCATAATATTGAAAACTACCACCCCGTATCTTCAACAAGCATAGTATGCAAATTATTTAAGCATATTATTTCTAAAGCATTATACAAGTACTTTGAATCCTCCAACATTTTTCATTCTAACCAACATGGGTTTCGACGGTCACGGAACTCATAGAAACATTTGACGATTTTGCCGCTTTTCTAATGAGCGAAGACAGATTCATGCGATATGCCTTGGCCTTCCCAAGGTGTTTGATAGAGTACCACACACTGAACTACTTCATAAACTTTCTTTGCATAGTGTTAATCATAGCCTGATATTGTGGATCAGGGCGTATTTATCTAATCGGGTGCAGTATGTAGAGGTTACCGGTCACTGTCCAATAGTATCTGAAGTACCCTCGGGCGTCCCCTAGGAGTCAGTACTCGGGCCAGTATTATTTTTAATTTACATTAATTATATCGCGGCGGAAATAAACCAAGGGGTCACTGTGCGGCTATTTGCGGATGATTGTCTGGTATATTCAAAAATCGGAGAGGAAGACGACCAGCGCAGATTAAGTGCATCTGTTAGGTCTATTCAGGATTGGTGCTCAAAATGGAAGATGAAAATTAATGCACAAAAAGCAGTGTTTGCATGAATAACTAACAAAACTAAGAATGTTCTTACTTTTACTTACAAGCTTGATGGGAGTCCTTTGGTTGAAGTTAATAGTTTTAAATACTTGGGTGTGACACTTTCTAAAGACTTAAGCTGGAGTAAGCTCATAAATGAAATACTGTAAACGACTTAATTTTTGCGAGGACCTCATTTTCGGGAATTTCGCAAATTGCCTACAATTCGCAAAGAATAGGTCCTGCGAACTATTCGGGTAAAATGTAAACACACTGAAATTTATATTGAGATCCCACCGCGGTCGCGAAAATTAGAACCCGCGAATTGTTCCAAAACTTCAGCTTTGACCTAAATCGCAAAATATTGAGCCCACGAAAAAAAAGTTTCCGGTATGTCACAACGCAATAAAAAAGCTTTGGTTTTTTAGACGAAATCTGAACAGTGCTCTGCCTAAAGTAAAGTTAATGGCCTACACAACGTATGTTAGGCCTACCTTGGAGTAGGCTGCATCAGTATGGGACCCCTATAGAAATAGTCAAATTGGTGAACTAGAAAAAGTTCAAAGGAAGGCGGTGCGATTTATTCTATTCAAATACAAGCGACTTGATTCTGTCACAGATATGCTGAATAGCCTCAATCTCCCCTCACTTTTCGTCCGTCGAGAAATTGCTTGACTTAAGTTTTTCTTTGTTTTCTCATCACCTGCATAAATAATGTTTACCCGGATTCTAGATTAACACATCGCGCATTGAGAGAACTCAGATATGTTAGCACTAATCAGTTTGAAGTGCCCAAATGTAATATTGGCGCTTATAAGTTGTTTTTTTTTCCTAGAAAAGAAAAACGATTGGAATAATCTCCCACAAAATATTTTGTCATTGGACTGTTTAGATGAATTTGAGAGCACCCTTCTGAATATGTGTGATTTGGACCGATAAATAGTAGTTCTGATATTTTTGCTAAGTAGTAGATTTCGAGTGCTGAGAATTCATTTTGTTGTGTGCTAGATAATATGTTGAATATTTGTGCTATTTCAGCCCCTTTATTATTAGTAGATGTCGCTGAATGTGTACTGTACTGTAGTCCTGATGTTGCATGTTTGAGTGTTCTCCTATACCCCACACCTGTTAAAGCCCTGTACTTGGGGTGAACAGTATTCACGAATAAGTAATAACAAAATGGAAAGTTGCCCAATGCAAACGGAGGCGTAACCTGAAGCAGTGCACTATTTTCGGCTTTTTAAATCCGCTTAGACGTAATAAAGGCAAGTTTTTTAATCTGCTCATTTTTCGGACGTTCGGTCCCTGCAAAGTCCGAGAGATTGGTCGGCAACTGTACGTGTATTTAGCAGATTTACTTTCCTGCCTTGGCCTTAACTGTGACTGGCAGTACTTTTTTTTTAAATAAATAGTATAAAATAAAAAGATGCACCGTCCAAATTCTCAGTGTGAAGGGAACTCGGAGAAAATGATTGGAGCTTGCAAGTGCGGTAAAAATGTTGCTAAAATGTTGCTTGAACAACCTGGTGGTGTGCTTACCCGAGGAACGCAGCTTTTTCATGTCTTGCATCACCACTTGCTAGCAATAGCCTGTGATTTTGTCTGTCAGACTTTTCGTTTTTTATTTTAATGCAGCAGGTGTTTCATGTGACCTTGATTACCTTAGACTCAGCTTAACTGAATAGAAGAGTGACGTGTAGCTAGTCAGTTCGAGGAAAGGAATACTAGGGCTGCACAACTTCGACCAGTATCACTGTAAAAAATGCTGCTGAGATTAAGGGGCTATAGAGAGCTCCATCAACTCTAGAGTTTTGCCCTAGAGATCACATACCTGTTGCATAAGTACAACTTGTCTGTGGCTTGAACGGGAGCACCACTCAAAGTTTCTCCTGCAAGGGCTCGTTTGCACTTTACGCTTGCCTCGAGACACTGCCTTTCTCTCCCGACACAGGTACATGAATCTGACGGACGAGGAGTGTTCCAGAATCGACGGAAACCCCAAAGTGGCGCGCAAACTGGAGCGCCTACGAAACCGTGGCGCCCCCGGACCAGACGGAACCTTCAGCAACACGAGCGGCGGGTGCGACGACGAAGAAGACGACGACGACGGATCATATTCCGACTCCGACTCGTCGGACTCTGACCTTCCGCGATCAGGCGACTGGAGCTGCGACTCGCTCGGACTACCTGTGTCTCCGAGCTGCTCCGTTGACGGAGCGCTGCGGAACACTCCGACACCCGTGACCAATGGGCATCGCGAGTCCGAGAACGGATACTGCTACAACTGCAGACGGCAATGGGACGGCACGGTGGCAGACGCCAGCTGCCAGACGCTCTCCACGGGAGACATTGTCATCACGAAGGTGTTCTTCGAGGAACGAGAGCACGGGGGGAAAGAGATCATCCCGTGAGGCCGCCCGGCGCAAGCAGACGACGCTGTTCCGAAGTCGTCTGCTAACGGCGCGGAACGTTGCTGGACCGCCGGCAGGAGACGGCCAATCGTGCGAGGCTTCTCTCTCCCTCTCGTCGAAGCGCGGATGACGGTTGAATTTCGTTGGGTTCTCGTCGCAGCAGTCTACACCAAAGGACAGGTCGACAGAGCGTTTCTATGTCGCCTTCTGCCAAAAACGGCAGACGACGTGACGTCTTCTTTTTTTTTTACCACACTGCCGAGGCTTGGAAGGAGAAGCACGGGATGCATTTCTGGCAGCCGGTGGGTAACTCACCTGGGGTCACTGAGCTCCTGCCCGTCCGGCATCCAGATTGGTCCCCTCTCTTGTACAGCTTGGGATTTCGACGCAGTGCCAACGTCGACGCAGTGCTGGGGGTGACAAGCTGCCGAACCAGTTTCGGAAGGTTCTTGACCGGTTGGAGGTGCCATCTCTGGGTGAATGTCTCGGCATCTTGTTTGTGCTAACGTTGCAGCACAAAATGCCGGCAGGCGGTTTTTGTAACGAGCTTCTCTTGACAGACGGGCTGTCCTACAGCGTCTGCCTCTCCCTCGGCAGAGAGGTGCGAGTGATACGTCGACCTTGCCGGATTTGGAGGTTGCGGGTTGTGCCGGTCTACAACTGAGACATGTGCCTTGATGTTTCTTCGCTCGCATTATTCGTCCTTTCCGTTCCTCTCGAGACTTGGTACGCTTCTGTTTCTGGCAGACGCATCGAGACGGGGTACGACGGATAGATGGATGGACGTGATAGGTGCGGGGATGCTCAGGAGAAAGAAACATTTCTTTCTTTCTTTTGTTTTTTTTGGCAATAACTCCACTCGAGCTTGCTGAACTAAGCGGATCAAAGACATTGCTCCTCTAGTCAGGCCTTCTCTCTAAGAAAATTACGAGGCAGTCACATACGATCTGGCCTGATCTCGTCTGCTGTGAAATCGATGTTTCGTCTGCTCGTTCCCTTCGAAACGAAAGCCCACGTTAGAACGCGTGTCTAACTCTATGGGTTCAGTTTGGTCTCGCGGCCGTAACATCGTTTGTTACGTCTCAAAATCTTGCGAAAATTTGAAACGAGGTCTGAAATTTTTAGATAATTCACCCTCCACGGCTTGAAAGCGTTTGGTGATTATCTTCTTCCCGTGCCTTAGGACACTCGCGACACGTTCGCGAGTGGTTCTTTTGTGTGTACTAACTCGTATTCGGAAGCCTTCTTCGTTTTTCGGCTACATTCGTCTGCTCTTGTCCCAGCAGACTACGTCTGCACGAGAGGGCCTCGAGCATGCGAGCAGTCGAATGCAGCTGTCTTGTGCTACAGCTAACGTCATTCTCCGCTTTGATTGGTTGATATCAAAGCCTGTTGGAGCAAAGATGCTGGCACCCAGTCAGAAGACGAGGATTTTCCAACTTTCTTTTTTTACTCTTTACATTAATCCAGCGGTACTATACTGCGTTTCATATTTGATATACAACGCAGTCTAAGCTACTGGCGCGAGCACATGGCTTTGTCTATAGTTTCGTTTGCGTGAGAATGCGTGCAAACAATCTGCAAGATCAAACTCCATGCTCGCGCTAGCAACTTTGACAGTGTCGTACACCAAGTATGAAACGGAGTGTAGAGTGTGGTGTACGAGACTGATGGCTCGTTTGCGACACAGAGCTCTAGACGTGTACATGCAATTGTGGATGGGTGCACGAGTGGAAGCATTGTGTAAATTATATATAGATGCCTATAGGTTTATATATATATACATATATATATTAACTATGCACGTTGTTGTTTACGTTTACATCTTTTCATTCGTGACGTCGTGTGTGTGTCGGGAGTGTTGAACGCGCCGAGCGCGGCATTCCCCCTCCCCCCCAGCTGCACGTTGGTGGTCACGTAAACTTGGGACGGAGATTATTTACAAGTCATCGTCAGTGTAGCTATATTACCTTTTTCTACTTCCCACTTTTGTAAACAAAAAGCCGGCGGCTTCTGTATGCCGCACAGGATAACGGTCTAAAGGACGGTAAAATGACGGAATGCTTGGATGACTTCTTTTACTAGTAGTTTTGTTTTGTTTGACTAGTGAGCCTTTACAATCACCCTCTGGCAGCTTTTTACCTTAGTTTTTGTTTGTTTTTGACCAACCACAGTGCAGTGTTTCTGTTGAGCAAGGATTGTTTTTGTGGCCTGCGGCTGTCAGAATTTTTTCTTTCTTGGAAGATGCCAGAGTGCTTGTTATTAAAGATGCTTATTACATTAGATAAACAGGTTTAATGTATACCAGCATGGTCATTGTGATGTCTTTTTTGGAAGGGAAGCACTTATAAGGACATAAAGAAAAGTTCTAACTCTGATGTTTGTGGTGTTCTTTGTCTTCGAGATTAATGAAAGCCATTGCCTCAAGAGGGACTAAGTATTACCTGCGTGGCATATTGTCATTTTGCTGCGCTAATGACACTCATGTCCACGAGGAGTGCAGGGTGATTGGGCTTAATTTGTCCGCTACAATCTGCTGAAAGCGGAAATAAAATGTTTCAAGTCTATCATAAGACCTGGGACGTAAAGTCCCTTGATACTTTTACAGGTAGGGTCATTCCATGTCAAACGTCCGATTTCTAAAAAAAAAAAAAAAAAAATTCATGGCCTTTTGCCGCATTATCCACAGCCATGCCCTAAAATATTTTTGACGAAAAAAGTTTTTGATGGCGTGAGCGCGATTGTAACTTAAAAATAGCTTGGAACTAAGTATCACTCCATAATTTAGGAAAAATCAACTTTTTAATGAAACACCCCACAATATTTTTTTCTTAAATCTGCACGGCTTTCGTTGGCCTTGTGCAATTTTGTTTAATTTAAATATTTAAAACAATTTGTTTTTGTAATTTTAACATTGTTGTTTTTTATTAAAAAAATATTCAATTGCTCTGGGGACTTAAAGGGACACTGACACCCCCCCAAAATTTTTTTTTATTTTTTGCCAGGCGCTTTATTATGGTGTCGGAGGACTACCCAATTAATATTTTGCAACAGAGTAGCGTATTTCTTTAATAAAGCCAAAAGACGCAACTGCTCGAAACCGAAACCGAAACCCGACGGAGGTCGGAGAAGTGGAGAGAAGAGAGTGACTGGCGGAAGTCACGTGGCTACACCCGACCGTGCGTTTTTTTGTTTTTTTTTTTCTCCTCTCCGGTAGCAGGACGACACGACATGCGGCGTGCGATGCGGCGTGCGGAAACTGCTTGCCGTGCGATTTATTGAGGAGTTGGAGATGAGTAGTGAGTGCCCGTGGTGAATTTCCATGATCGGCTCCGAAAAGAATAAACCCAAGATGTTGCGTGAAGAGCTGGCTCACATGTCCTGCATCCGAAAAAAAGTGGCATTGTCGAAAGATCAACGGGATCGGGACCAATGGCTGGCTGCAATTCCTGTAGAACATTTACGGGCACCTCGGAAAGCGGACGCTACCTGATTTATATGCTCCTTGCATTTTGTGGAAAGTGATTACATTGAGTTCGCAGGTGTCAAAACGGAAATCCCATACCGTTTAATTCAGCGAAGTATCGTCCACAACATTGGTTTGTTATTTTTTTGTTTGTTTTTTCAGTGATGATTGGTAAAAAAAAAAAAGAAAAAGATATGTAAACATCAAAAAATGTTTGAAAAAAAAAAAAAAAAAAAAAGAAATTCACGGGGGATCGAACCCGGTCCTACCGCGTGTGAAGCGGACGTCTTTCCCACTAAGCTACTGGGGCATCTCGTTTCTGGTGGATCTCTTTCCTTAGTAATAATTCAGGCGGGAAACTAAGTTGGAAAGTTTGCTGTCGATTTTTCTCTAGCAAAAGCACTCCCGGGTCGAAGTCGGGAAGCACCACGCTTTGGGGACATTCGCACCTAGTAAAGAAATCGTACGCGTGCATATTCGACTCGAAGTAGACACGTCGTGCTTGACGTTTGCGCGAGCGTTGTCTTCAGCCAGGAGAAGGTTAGCGACGGCTCGGCGACGTCTTCGTGCAAATCGGCTGGGTGGCCGGGCGTGTCGTACGGGTTGAATACCAATTCTTTTGATCAGTCCCAAATTTCTCTTTTAACGGTAGACAGAATTCGCCGGTACCGCGAACGACAGTTCTGAAATTGAGGTCCCACGCCCGTCGTCCGCTGCCATCGCCGTCCCCGCGAGTCCCACGATACGCGAAACGACGAACGCACAGAATGCTTCCGGTTGTCTGTGGAACTTTTTTTTCAATCAACGTATTTACAGCTTTTTAGAAGCCACAAAAAATGGGTTTCATATTTTTTTCTATTTTTAATATTGAGTGTGTGCCTTCAGTAACCCACGACTTTGATTAAATTTGGTGGTCGCATCGATACCTTAGAAAACGGCCCGTGACCGCGGAAAAGAGAGTGAGCGAGACTCGAACCGGCCAATTCTTGATCGGCGGTTTTCGGGCGGAAAGAAACCGAATTTCGAGCCGCAAATTCTGTTCTGGGTAGTTGAGCCCTCATATGTCACGTACAACTAACAACCTCGGCGAGCATAAAAACCCTGTCAGTGTCCCTTTAATAGGACTTTTTACCGGCTGCCCTGCAGGTATATAATCTATAAAAAATGTTTAAACCGCTCAATTAAATATCGCAATAGAACAAAATACTGAGGTTGCAAACATCCGTTTATTTCACCATGAGGTGGTTCAAGTAAAAATACAAAACATGGTGGGTTTGGAAGAACAATCGATTGTCTTTTGATTCTGAAAGTTTAATCTAAGTAATTTTTAGGGGCGAAGCTCCTTAGAGGCTAGCCATGTCCGTCCGGCGTGCCCCTGGTCGTTAGTTCAGCAGCGAGAGCAAAAAAATAGAAAAAAAAAATAGGGGGCTCCGAGATGCAATCCTATCATCAGCGCTAAGCTATGACCAAAATCAGTATCAAGAAAAAGAAGAGTAGGGGGTTCCGAGTTACCATCCCATCTGTCTTCTTACAAAAAGAAAAACAAAACCACACATCCTTCTACTGACATGAATGAAAACGGCACCATCAGCACTACCTATGATTAAAATCAGTATCAAGAAAAAGAAGAAAAAAAAGTAGGGGGTTCTGAGTTACCATCCCACCTGTCTTCTTAAAAAAAGAAAAAGAAGAAAACCACATTCTCCTGCTGACATGAATGAAAACGGCACCATCAGCACTACCTATGACCAAAATCAGTATCATCTGCACCACCCGAGGTTCGCCCCAATCAACATCATTCACCACGTGACACGATTAGGTCCAAAGAAACAACGGAGTTTACCGCCGCTTCCCCTTGTCCGCCTTTTCAGCTGCAAGGGAAGAAACGGCGGGCATCATTTTGATAATAGGAGGTGCCGCCAGTGCGTAGCCATAGCACGCCTGTCGTGCCCTTTGTATCCGAGGCCGGCTCCTCACACTCCGAAACGCGATGCCTAATCAACGGGCGGCATCAGCTGATGTGGACTTCTCAATGCGTCAGGCGACGTGGACTTCTCCATAAATATATCTTACTTCTCCATGAGAAGATGTATTTATGAAAAGGTGGAATATTTTTGCCTAAAAACCACACGGTATTTGGATTGCTATGTAAGAAGCATCCTGAATATCGGCTTGAAGCAATTAAAAAAAATAAGGAATGTGTAAGAATTTTAGCATTTTTTATAGTTTTGTTACAAACTCTCTCGTTGCTGCAGGTGACTGTAAAAATTCTTATTGACAGACCTGTAGGTATACTGCACAAAAGAAGAAAAACCGTTTTAGGCCGTACAACTAAATATCAAGCAGAAAAACTACTAAATTCGTGCAAAATTGTGTTTTACCGTTTCAAGACCGTCGATTCTGCCTTGAGGTGGCCAAAAGAAAAATACGAAACATGGTGACCTTTACATCACGTACGAAGATGTCAGATCTAGCTGAGCGGTTCCAGTTCGGATCCGCGGGGTTCTAAACTCTAGACCTCAGATTCAGGCCGGAATGAAAAAATGCAAGTTCCGCCTAGACCCAGAATTGGGGCACCAGTTTGTATCCAGCCTGGAACCGTGCATTTCCAACCCCAATTTTAAACCCAGGCGGTGCACCTCCGGAATTCCCGCTGCGCTCGCCACTGGACTCTACAAAAGAATTTCGCGCGATGCCCTTAGCCGTTACAAGCGAGAGATCGTTGCGATTTCAGACCCAGGTGGACTGGGTCTGAAATCGCGACGACCTCTCGCTTGTAACGGCTAAGGGCATCGCGCGATTGACTTTGTAAAGTCCAGTGGTGAGCGCAGCGGTAATTCCGGAGGTGCACACGGTCGTCCAGGCGTCGTCGCGTCGTCATTAAACACGGTGCACGGAACACACACAGCACGCACAAGCACAGTATCTAGTGTTGAGTGCATCGAGAAGTTCCGGCGGGCAAGCGGTACCCGAGTTGTCTGAGTAATGTCACCAAGTACACCAGCGCGTCCAGATGCCGAGCCAAACTGCAGTGGGACGGCAGCTTCACACTATATAAAGATTCAAAGCCGAGGTCAGTGGGTATCCATCCAGGGCAACGATAGGCGCGTCAGTATTTGTGCACCCGCAGCGCAAACGCCGCCGGGCGAGCGCCGGCCGGTAGGTAGTCCAACGGGAGCGGAGAACCGAAACTCTCGAAGCGCTGCCGCCGACTGCAGCAGACAATGCAAGGTGCGCGTCGTCACCAAACACGATGCACGGAACACACGCACAGTACGCTTAAAGGGATGCTGAACCGAAATTTAAATTTCCCAAAACACGCAGAAAAACCGTGCAACGGGATGCTACAAACACCAAAACATCACTCATACAGCGATATCTCGAACGGATGACCGTATTTTTCAAAAAAGGAGACGCATTTGGCAGGAATGTTGACGTCATGTTTCTCTGAGAAGGAGAGGGAACGGCCTCGCGTTTTCCTCGCCTCGCGGCCTCGAGGGAGTGAAGCGAAGAGAGGAGGAAACACGGTATATTGACGTTACGCGCCTCGTTGGCCTGGTTCGATCTCGACCTTTTTCCAAAAATACGGCCGTCCATTCGAGATACGTACCGCCTTGCAAGTAGTATTGTAGGGATTGTAGCGTCCCGCCTACATCTCCTGCATTGTTTTTTTTTTTTTTAATCTAAATTTCGGTTCACCATCCCTTTAAAGGGGCGGTGCAACGATTTTCGGACTTCGGTCAAAGATTTCTGAAAGTTGCCCCCTGACACTTCTGAAGTAAAGAACAGAAAACCGATTTCGCCTGCGTGTCCTAGTTGTTGCGTAAAAAAAAGATAAAGATTGGCGTTTCGGGCACCCTCAACTCACTCCCAGCCTTCAGGGTCACACCTGGTCCCCCTCCTAGTGACGTC